TGGTATGGCATGTGGTAGAGTGCCAGCATGTTGCTTCTGAGATTATGTTATACAAGATCGAGACTTCTATGTTGGATGCTCTCCCTCTTATCATTCTCTCTCTCTCTCTCTCTCTCTCTCTCTCAATCAGATCACTTGCTTTGGAGGAAGACTGCTACCATGTTGGGAGGATGCTCAAGCAGTTTATGAAGAGGCTGGCATGGCATCTTCTGCCAACAAGCAAGGTGAAACTGAGGGAACCATGGGAGGGGCCGTGGTGGAAGGAGGCCCTCCAGCCACAGTCTAGCCTTCAGATGGCTGCAGCCCCGGTCAGCAGCCTGACTACAACTGCAGGAGAGCCTCCCTGAGCCAGAACGCCAGCCAAGCTCTTCCTAGATTCCTGACCCTCTGAGAGTATGTGTGATGCTAAATGTTTTTTAAGCTGTTAGATGTTGAGCTATTTATTGTGCACCAGTAGATAATTCCCATGTCAGGTCAAGGGTCAGACTAGGTTGCTGTAGATTTCAAAGCTTCCCAGGCAGATCTGATGTGTACCATGGATTTAGGGACTTATCTGCTGGTGGCTTTCTGGGGGCAAAGCTGATTCAAAGTGGCATGTGTGCATGTAAGTGGCATGCTGAGTGGAGAGAGGTGAAGCCTCCACTGCCAGCAGCCCCTAGGAGTTTAAGGTCACAGGTCGCCCCAGAGAATGGGAGTGCTTGCTGACTTATGGTTCCTGGAAGAGAGAGAAAATGTGGAATATGCAACCTGAGGGGGGCCTTGGCCTGATGATCCTCACAATGTGTTTAGTAGTAGAACCATTTCCTCAAATGAAATAATTGACAATAGGCTGACTTAGCAACACCAGCAGAGCAGTTCTGGGTAAGCCCAAGTAGGGGCCCCCATGTCTGTTTCCCCAGCCTCCCTGTTCCCCACCCCTACTAGCACTCCCAAGGCATCTCTGAAGAACCCAAGAGCTTCACAGTTTACAAACCTGTGATCTAGTCCAACTGCCTCCAACTGAGGCATTTTACTGATGAGTAAACTGAGGCCCATGGAAGGGAGGTCACAGAGCACTTCTGGGGCAGAAGCCCACAGCTTGATTCTCCTGACTTCTACTGCAAACTTTCTGCACTACCTGGGATGTCACTTAGGAAAAGTGCACAGGGTGGGGTGGGGTACAGGGGAATGCTCTCTCCCACCTCCTAACCCGGCTATGGGCGTCCACCACCAGAGTGGGGGAGCACCTGCCATGCACCAGGCATGGTTCTCAATGCTTCACATGAACTCAGGTATTCAATCTTCGCCAACACCCCTAATGAAGTAGGTACTGCCATCATCTTCATTTTACATAGGAGGAAACTAAGGCAGAGCGAGGACAAGTAATTAGCCTGATTCCTTGCTTAGTCAGTATCAGGGCCACATCTGGGGTCTGGACATGAAGCCCTTACCCCCTGAACTTTGCTGCCTCCCTCTAGGCAGGGGCCCAGCCTTCCCTGCCCTTGGAGCAGAAACGAAAGGCCCTTCACTCTGCTCTGCTCCCCAGGGAGCTGGGAGACAGATGTCAAATAGGAGAAAGTGGTCAGACCTGCTCCCTTTCTGGCCAGGATGTCCCAGGCTTCTGGCTCAATGGCCACCAAGGGGTCAACACCTTACCTAGGGCAGGGGGAAGCTGGATCTTCACCTGGATCTGGGTCTCTCAACTGTATTTTTTTCTATCAACAATGAATGCTATCAGCATTTAGGAATGGAGCAATAAAATCGTAATTTCTGAGTACTTTATCCTTTCTGTATCTTTTGCACCAAAGCTAGCTTTACATTAGTGGTGATAATCTAATACAGATCCAGCTCAGAGGATATTTCAGGCACGGATACCCCATGCTTATGAGCCACACACCGTGGCTGAGAATATTGATTCTTTTTTCTCTCAAACATAGAGGAAAGTTGTAAGGACAGTAAAAGAACTTCCCTGTGCCCCTCACCCAGATTCTCTGACTGTTAATACTTACCACATTTGCTCTGCATCCCATCTAGTTTATCTAAACTTTTGAGGATGGGCTGCAGACACAAGCCCCATATCACTCAAATACTCTAGTGTGTATTTCTCAAAAACAAGGACATTTGCCTATAAATCCATCATACAGCCCTTTGAATCAGGACACTGACACCCAGGCAACACTACCGCCCCACCCACTGACCCCACTCATGCTCTCCAACTGCCCGACAAAGTCTTCTGGTCCAGGATCTCAGCAAAGAACACATGTGGCATTTAGCCTCTTTACTTCCTTCCAGATTAACTGGAAGATTCCCCAGTCTTTTCCTGGCTTTCATATGCAAGCCATTTTAGGGAAATGGTCCTTACATTTGTTTCTTATGACCAGACTCAGGCTGTGCTTTCTTAGCAGGAAACCCCCCAGAAACAATGTTGGGTTTTCTCTATGCAGCACACCAGACAGCACATGGTGGCCACCCATCCTGTCGCAAAGGATGGTAACCTCAATCACATGGTCAAATTAGAGTCTGCCCTCAATCACATGGTCAAATTAGAGTCTGCCCTCAATCACATGGTCAAATTAGAGTCTGCCAGGTTTCTCCGCCAGAAGGTCACACTTTTCCCTTTGTAACCAGGTAAGCCTTATGTGTGCCCCAGTCTGCTGCCTGGAAGAGAATTTCCAGGGAGCGTAGTCTACGCAGAGCCAAGGGGTGTCAATTAGTTAAGAGGGCAGAGTTCAAAATTCAGGGAGTCCAAAGCAACTAGAATTTGCAAGGCAGAGCACCAGAGAGGAGAAATTCAGAAATCTGCAGATCCTCGAGTCTCTGAGCACTAATTTGTGCGTGTGCGTGAGGAAACTTCCAGGGCCAGGAGAAAGCTTCCTGAAAAGGAATGAACAGAACAACCCCTTGAGATCATGCAGGGCTAGAAATAGTCTGTGTTCCCAGTGGATGAGGTAGAAACACTTCCATTGGGAAGCAATCTCAGAAGGGTATTGACTCAGTAGTGGAGCAAAATATGTCCTAGACTAGAGGACTTCTGCCTAACAAGGCTTTAAAAGCAAGCCTTGAAAACATCAAACTTTTTTTTTTGAAGCCACTTAACTGTGCAGAACAATGCCCCAAATATTTAAGTGAATAGCAACAAAAATCCAGCATCCAACAATGTAAAATTCCTAATACCTGGCACCTAATCTAACATCACTAGGTGCACACAGAAAAATATGGCTGATGTCCAGGAGAGAAATCAATGAATAAAAGCAGACACTGAGGGATCCCTGGGTGGCTCAGCAGTTTAGCACCCGCCTTTGGCCCAGGGTGTGATCCTGGGGTCCCGGGATCGAGTTCCGCGTCAGGCTCCCGGCATGGAGCCTGCTTCTCCCTCTGCCTGTGTCTCTGCCTCTCTCTTTCTCTCTCTCTCTCTCTCGTTCTATGTCTATCATGAATAAATAAATAAAATCTTATATAAAAAAAAAGCAGACACTGAAATGACATAGATGACAGAATTAGTACAGAAGAACCTTAACACAGGTATTATAAATATATTCCAGATGCTCAAGAAGATTGAGGAAAGCATAGGCATAAGAAGAGAAAAATGGAAGAGAGAGGAAAAAAGATCCAAACTAAACTTTTAGACACGAACAGTAACACATCCGAAATGCAAACTACACTGGACGGGATTAATGGTAGGCTAGACTTTGCAAGAAAAGACTAGTGAGCCTGAAGACATAGCAATGGAAACTATCCAAAATGGAGCATGGAGCACACTTTAAAGAAGAAAGACTTAAAAAAAAAAAAAAAAAGGCAGAGTTTGGTGAGCCATGGGAAAATATGAATATAAACAGAAGACATAATTAGAATCCCAGTGGGTGGAGTAGGGGGTGGTGGTGGCAATGGCTGAAATTTTTCCAAATTTGATGAAAACCATAAATGTACAGATCCAAGAAACTCAATAAACCCCAAATGGAGGAAACAAAGAAACACCAGCCCAAGGTGTATCCTCTTCAGATTGCTGAAGCCTTGACTTACATTGGCTTGTCTCTCATTAATGGGCCTGAGAGGGACGCCTGGGTAGCCCGGCGGTTTAGCGCCGCCTTCAGCCCAGGGTGTGATCCTGGAGTCTCGGGATCGAGTCCCACATTGGGCTCCCTGCATGGAGCCTACGTCTCCCTCTGCCTCTGTCTCTGCCTCTCTCTGTGTGTCTCTCAGGAATAAATAAGATCTTAAAAAAAAAATGGGCCCAAGACATGAAAACTGCACCCACAAAATGGGAAAAGCACAAAAAAAAGGGAGCAGGAAGCGAATGGATGCAGTTGATGTGGCATGAAATTCAGGAGAGAAGGAAAGGCTGACATGGTGACTGGTGGCAGGTCTCACTGGCAGGGCAGGGCTCAGCCATCTGGGAGACTGGCTGTCACTCTGCTGCCGCAGGCCCCAACCCCATACACAGATGCAGCTAGATTCCTGCTGTTTCTGCCTGATAACCAGCACCAGAAGCATCTAGAGATGCAGATTTGCTGTCTCTTTGCTGAGTGGCTCCTGTGGTCCCAGAGCCTGGCTCAATTCAGGGAAAGAAGCCCAATCGATGGCAAAATCAGCAAGCACAGCAGATACCTGGAGATGGGTAGGATTAACTCCACTTCTCAAAAGCCTAAAAATAGCCCCGACCACATTGGAAATCCCAGCAGTCCCACTGGAACACACAGCAGGACACTGCACTTGCAGAGATTACAGGTCAAGGGATAAAGAAACTTCCAAGTACTTGGAGTTGCCAGAGAATGGCCCCATTTCAATTCTGGGGGATGTCAGGCCTGCCACCAATGCCCACAGCATAGCTGAGAGTGGGCTGTCGCACACATCACAGTGGGACACCCTGGACCTCAGCAGGTGCCCAGTCCTGCCCACCTACCACTGCGGTAAATCCAGCTGCACCTTGTCTGAGTAACAGGCCAAAGGAGTGTGTATGCACTGCCCAGGCAGAGGATCAGGATCCGGCTGGAGGTGGTTGGAGACTGTGCTCCTGCACCTACCTGCCAGGCTGGGAGGACCTTCTCGATGTCATTCAGGTTGATCCCATCCCCATCTTCTAGTTTCCCCTTTCCACACCTGCACCAGAAAAGAGAGAAAGGCACTGAAAAGTTGGCATGTTCGTGTGTCTTATCCCAGCCCAGCAAGCAGGGAGAGCAGGGACAGTGAGGAGACCACCTGGCCCTGCCTCCTCAAGGCCTCCAGGATCAGTCTGTCCCACCCAGAAGGAACAGCCCCGGAGACGCGTGCCCTCCTTCCCCCGCCTGGCAACACAGGCCCTGCCTTGAGAATGAAGGATGTAGTGCAGGCGGGAATGTTAGGACCAGTCCAGGTGCAGGGAGCACTAGGGTTACATCCAGCCCCCAGGGAAGTAACAAGGGACCCGAGCTCCCCTTGACCCTTCCAAGCAAAGACGCTAAGCTCCTTGCTGTAGAATACCCCCAAAACTGTCACAGCTCCTCCAAAGGCCCATCACCTAACGCAGTAGACCAAAGGGACAATGACCAGGCAACTTTCTTGAGGTCGCACAGGCCCACCACAGGGATTTTTCCTTCCATGGCCTGCCTTTGGGCCAGTCCAGCAAGCCCATTGGGATGCTGGTGCTGTCTTCATGCCCTATGTGGGCAGGCCTATGCTCAGGCCACAGATGCCGACTTCAGCTGTCAATCAAGCACCCCCGTCTTCTGCATGTTAGAGGTGCAGACTCTGGAACCAGACTGCCGGGCTGGAACCCCAGCTGCAGCCCTTACTAACTGGGTGACCCTAGGCAAGTCACTTAACTCCTCTGGACCTCAGTTTCCCCATTTGTAAAATGGGGATCATTAGTGGTATCTAAGGTGGCAGGAGGATTAAGTCAGTTATTGAAGTGCTTAGAACCAGGCCCAGCACATGTGCACCCCCCCATACACACCCTTATTTACATACCATATTTAATGGTAAGCGTATTGTTATGGTAAATATGGGCAATAATGACATCAAGTTATAATAAGATAAATAATATGGTAAGTATATTATTACCACTAGGGCTACTGCTCCTAGTACTGTTTATAGCTGTATTGCTACTATTACTGTTTTTGCTACTATTTTCCTGCTACTGCTATGGCTGGAGAAAGGACACAGGCACAGAGACTCATTAAGTCAGGGCGCCTGGGTGGCTCAACGGTGGAGCGTCTGCCTTTGGATCAGGTCATGACCTCAGGGTCCAGGATGGAGTTCCACGTCGGGGTCCCTGCATGGAGCCTGCTTCTCCCTCTGCCTGTGTCTCTGCCTCTCTCTTTGTCTCTCATGAATAAATAAATAAAATCTTTTAAATTTTTTTTTTTTTAATTTATTTATGATAGGCACACAGTGAGAGAGAGAGGGGGGCAGAGACACAGGCAGAGGGAGAAGCAGGCTCCATGCACCGGGAGCCCGACGTGGGATTCGATCCCGGGTCTCCAGGATCGCGCCCTGGGCCAAAGGCAGGCGCCAAACCGCTGCGCCACCCAGGGATCCCAATAAATAAAATCTTAAAAAAAAAAAAGAGAGAGTCTAGACTCTGGAGCCGCCCCGGCCCATGCAGGTTACTCATTTCTGTGCTTCCTAGTTCTCATCATCTGCCAAGGGAAGATAATAATGCTCCTCCCTCCTTAGGTTTGGTGAGTTTTAAATAATATGAGGTGAGCACTTGGAACAGTGCCCAGGATGGATTAGTTAGTGACCACTGCTCAGTGTTATCATTAGGGACCCTGGCACATTGAGGGCCACTTGGCATGAGGGCTGTAGCATTTTCCAGCCACAGAATTAACGCAACTCTGAAATTCCAGAGCATTTATTGGTTCAGTATTTGCAGGGCATCTCTTGTGTTTTTGGCCCTGTCCACCTCCCTGGGAATCATGGAAAATAAACCCAGCCTAGTTCCCACCCTCCACCACTCACAGCTCTTGGGGAGCAAATCCTCATCTAAAGGCAGTGAGCAATAATCACTGTCGGGGGGTGGGGCAGCATGCGACAGATGTCACAAAAGCCTTCCAGGTGGAGGGGCCCCAGTGGCTGCAAACCCCAGCAGGGCTGGGGTGGGCAGAAGAGGGTAGGAGGCTGCGTCCTTGTCCCTGGCTGACAAGTGCTCTAGTGTGGGCTCCGGCCAGGGCTGGGCCCCAGCATAAACCATGCATAGACCGGGCAGCACAGGAACCGAGAGGAATGCTGCCCAGAGGCATCCAGAGGGTCTGAGGCAGAGGGAGGGAGGTGGGTCATGAGCTGGTCAAGCGGAGAACTTGGGGGAATGTGTCCGGGGCAGAGGGCAGCAGGGCAATGGCCTGAAGCTAAGCCCGAGTCTGTGGCCATGGACCTCAACGAGCCTGCCCAGCGGAGGGGGCAGGGGAGGCGAGGGTGGCCAGGGGGCAAGATGGTGCTAGAAGGCCAGGGTGGGAGGGGAGTAAGGAAGGTGTGATGGGCACGCCCCCTCCACCCCCACCCCAGTCTTGTGATATGCTGGGCTGCCTGCAGATAAGGAGACAAAGAAAGGTCTAGAAACATCCAACTATCTTTGAAGTGCAGGCTGGTTGGTGAAGGTACCAGAGGCTCACATCTGGATCATCCGTAGGGGCAGCGGGAGGGGAGGAAGCTGGGGACCCGGCTGATTGGGATGGCTGACACCCTGTCCCCAGGTCATGTACCCCACAGAGGGACTCCTGGCCGCCCTGAGCTCCAAGCATATGCTAGACAGCAGCCCGGCCCAGCCTGGGCACAGCCTCCCATCCGCCCCTCAGCAGCCTACAGGGGCATGGGGGGCTGTGTCCAGGGATGGTGCTGTCCCCCCAGACCCACCCGGCTGGGGTTGGCAGCTGCCTGGAGGGCCCGCAGGTTGGGAGGGCAGAAGGTTGCCACAGACCGGCTGAGTCACTGCTGCTGCCAGGGTTTCCACGGCAACCGCCTTCTCTGATTTCTGTCCCTCCATGGCAACATGGGCTGCGGGGCGCCTTGGCAACCATGGGGGACCCTGCTTCCGAGGGACACGCTGGGCAGTTGGGCTCCAAGGGCGACACAGCCTCTGCCTTGCCCACAGGTGGCCACTGGACTGACACCCGGGATCTGCCAGGAACAGGGATGCTGGGTCCCGCCCCTGCTCTACCTCAATCTAATAGGGTGCCTCCATGCAGGCTGGCTCCCCTCCCTAAGCAAAACACGACTGGGGGAGTTCTGATGGAACCCACACAGGCCAGACAGTGGGGAAAGGAGCCGTGCTGAGAGGCTGGGGGCCCTGGGAGAGTATGAGCCAAGTGATGCACTGCCTCTCCCCAGAAAAATTCACGCAAGCAGATGATTTTGCATGAAAGTTGAAGGGGTTAAGCTGATCCACAGGTGCTCCGGTGTGTGGATGGCTTGAAAAGGCCTTACATCATGGCTCTTCTACTTGGGCAAGCTAGTTGGCCTCTTGCAGATGCATTTCTCTCATCCTTGAACTAGAGACCAGAACATCTCCCTTCCTGGGCTGGTGCTCATTTCACTACCACTGTGTGTGCGTGTGCGTGTGCGTGTGTGAGTGTGTGTGTGTGTGACAGGGTGGTCAGAGTGGGGTGGGCAGCAGGTGAGATGCAGTGACATTTAATGGCGGGGGCGGGGGGGGTCACACAACAAGTGAAAGCCATCAGCATAATAATAAAAAAAAAGGAGCACAATAAGTGTCAGCAAAAGACGTGCAAAAATTGCAAGCCCTGTACATTGCTGGTGGGAATTCAAATTATTCAGCCCCTGCGGAAAATAGTTGGGCAGTTCCTCAAAAATCTAAAATGTGGAATTACCATGTATGGCACTGTGATTTATACAAGATATATCTGGTCTTTGTCCCCAGTCTTGGTGCAGAACTCCTAAATTCCTTGGAATTTCCTAAGCAATGACAGAGATCAAGGGGTCTGTTTTTATGTTAATGAGGCAACTTTTGCAAAAACACCTAAGGAACCTGAGGGAGGGGGCTACTTGACAGGGGACCCCACTGTGGGATTGAAGGGTTAGAACTTCCCAGAGACAGCCAGCCTCATATCTGCACCCTGCCCTGCTCCCCTTTCCCATGAAGGGAGCCCCAGTGAGGTGCAAAAGGAAGAAGCCAGAGGAAGGAAGACTCAATGTCCCCAGGACTCTTAGCATTCCTGCTCCTGGGGGCCACACGTGTGCTGGGAACCCGGAGTCTGTGCTGGATGTGGGCGGAAGCACCCCGGTCCTGGCCCCTCGCTAGTGCATCCCAGCCTGCAGGCTCTCGCCTCGTCTTCCAGACCCCTACCTGGACCACAGCCGTCATTCTCACCAGCTGTGGGCCATCTGGATTCCACAATCACAGCCTCTCTCTGTCAGAGGATGCTGACCCCCCACTGGGGACACACCAGCCCTGCCTGGACTCAGTCCGGGTTTATAAAACAGAGAACGGAAAAAAAAACCACCCAAACCCCATCTGTCTCAAACCCCTGTGTCGGCCACCCTGCTGTCCTGAGGTCAGCTCAGGCCCGGACACATTGTGAAGAGAAGAAGGCAATGCCGATATGTGAAAAAAGCAGAGGAGGAGACAGCCCGACACTACACTGGCAGTTCTCCAGGTGGGGACCCGGGACCAACAGCACTGGCACCCCCGGGAACTTTTCAGGAATGCACGTTCTCAGGCCCCACCCCAGACCTCCGGATTCAGAGTTCAGGGCGCTGCTCCGGGGGTTTCCACAAGTCTCCAAGCGGCCCTGACCAGATGTGGGGAGACCCATGGCACCAGATGGCGGACAAGCAGGGCCGTGGTGGGTGTTTGGGAAGAGGAGCCGGTCCTGGAGGGAGGCCAGTGGGCCTGCCTGCGGTTCTCGGTGGAGCGCCTCTCCGGGCAGCAGCCCCCTGGGTGTCCTCGGAGCCGCCGAGGCGCCTGCCTGCCCAGGGCCAGGCCACTCTGGACCCCGGGTCAGCAGCAAGCCCGTCTGCCCCCAGGCAAGAGCCCCTGGTCACCCCTTACCCTTCCCGGTCGATGTGCGGCAGGGGCTGCTTGGGCGTGTGTCTCAGCTTCCGGTGGAACTGGGTGAAGTCCAGCTTTTCGGGCTGCAGGTCCCAGGTGGCACCACTAGAGGGTGAGAAAAGACGAGGAAGTGAGGTGAGGGGGGCTGCCAACCGGGGACACGGGGAGGCACCCCAGCCAAGGGCAGGGTCCACAGGGAGCCCTCACTCGCAAAGCAGCTCCGCGCCCCCAGCCAAGGGGGGGAGAGGCTGCTGCGAGGCCCTCACCTCTCCGCAACGCTGCTGCCCAATAATGCGTGTCCCTAAACACACGTGTGGGTTTGTTGCCTCCTCTACGGTGGTCCCCCTAAAACACGGCAGTCTGCTTTCACACCCGCATTTGAGGACTGAGGACGGCTGCAGGAGAAGGAGGCCTGAAACCTGCCAGGGAAGCTTCTGAGAGCCGCTCCAAATGGCAGCAAGGCAGCTCTGAGGGAGATGCGGCCAGTCAGCGGGACAGGAGGCCGGTGCCACCAGTCCCGGTCCCGGGACACCAGCGTGCTTCCCTCCCTGAGCCAGCGCTGCGGCTGGAGCACACCCGGTGTCAGCCAGCTCCAAGGCCGGGGCGAGCACAGCTAAGGGCCCCTGCCATCCGGAGCCCAAAGCCATCACTCCCCAGGGGAGTGAACACAGGGTCGGCCCCGTTAGCAGACCTGTCGGGGGCACCAGCCCCACACACTGACGTGACCCTGACCACTACCTCTCCTTCCACCCTGGCCCATCAGGAACCTCCTAGAGTCCGAACCGCTGACAACCCCTCCTTCCTCCAGACCTCTCCTCTGCAGGCACCACCATCACCCCCTCCCCGCAATGCTTATGACCCCAGGTTGGGGGGAGGAGCCGCAGTCACTGACTGGCCACCACATGCCCTTCTCTGCTCTTCCAACCACCAGGCCACCCTCTGCCTTCCCACCCTCTCCCCTGGGGCCGGACTGTTAGCACCTGGCTTCTCTTCCCCCTCAATCCTCTCTCAGACTCCTCTTCCTTGTCTTACTCTCTCTCCCTTGGATGCTCCCCCCTCATTTCCCTGCCTTCAATCTTCTCCTCTCTCTCTCATCTCCTTCCTCAGCAGCCTCATCCCTTCTACTTCACCCCCTTTTTGTTTTTCTCCACTTCCTGACCAGCGAATGCTCCACATTTACTCAATTTCCAAAGACCCCGCAGGGCTTCTGTAAGGACAAGACAGCCAGAGGCATACGCCACGCACAAGAGGGATTACCTGAAGGAATCAAAGGTGTTGGCAGCCCAGATATCCGTGCCCAGCATGTCCAGAGAGTTGTCTTTGCTGCCATTCTGGAAAAGACGGGAAATGAAAGGGTGGCATTATTTGCTTGGTCCGGGCACTGAGGACAAGCAGGCAAAGGCTCATTCCCAGAGAGCGCTGCAGAGGCCTCCAGTCACTCCCCTCGGTTGGTTATTCTGGGCAGCCTGTAGGCTGGAGAAAGCTGCTGGAGTGAGCAACCTGGTTAGGGCACCCAGTGAGAGCCACAAGGACCCCTGGCCTCTCCCCGGGCACGGACCCTCACTTGGGTGGCGTCTGACAACTGTGCAGTCAGGTGGAGAAATAGCCTGAGTCTCTGCTGCCCCCAGCCCTGTCCTCAAAGCCACCACACTAGTGAGCTGTTGCCACCACCACCAGCCCGATGGCAGCGGCCTCTTCCCGGCACAGAGGCAGGCCCGCATCGAGGGGCTGACTTCCTCTGGAGTTGGGCTCCCACTTCCCCACACCAGGCAGCACTGAAAAGCCCCTACTGACCACGGCTATACTAGTGATTAAATTCTCTAAGTCAACCTCTCCAGTCCTCGTCCTCCAACATTCCCTACATGATGTATCCCATAGGCAGAAAGCACTTTATTCCATCCAGTTTCTAGAATTTGGCTTCTCTGCCCTTTGGCTGCTGATCCCCCCATGTTCCCCAGCAACTTGCCTTGGCTCCTGACGCCATCCATCCCTCATGACCCCTGGGGTCCACCTTCATCATCACACCCTTTAAAAACCATGCTTCTGCCTCCAGTACAGCTGGGCATGTGCATATGCCTTATGGCCCAGAAGTCACGTCCAGGTATAGACACGACCGAAATGTGCGGAGATGTCCACCAACAGTGTGAAGCCCAGAGGCACAGGGCAGTACTCCTCACGCTAGGGCCACACTGGCAACCACTGAAATGCTTTACCAGCAGAGCAGACACATAAATTGTGGCCTATTCACGTACTGGAATAGTACACGGCAGGGGAATGAACAAATTAAAACAACGTATAACAGTGTAAGCAGATCCCCCAAACACAAAGTAGAACCAAGAACCCAGGCGTGAAGAAGTGCCGACTCTATGATTCAACTTATATAAAGCTCAGGGGGTCTCCGGGGGGCTCCATCGGTGAAGCGTCTGCCTTCGGCTCAGGTCATGATCTCAGGGTCCTGGGATTGAGTCCTGCAACAGGCACCCTGCTCAGCAGGGTCTGCTTCTCCTACCCCTCCTCCCTGCTCATGTTCTCTCTCTCTCTCAAATAAATAAATAAACAAAATCTTTTAAAAATTTACATAAAGTTAAGGAACAGGCAACTAATCTAAAAAGAAAGAATCCAGATAGCACCTGGAAGGGGGGCCCTGGGGGGCTGGTAATGTTGTTTCTTGAGCTGGGTGTGGGTTACATAAACGTGTTCAGCTTATGAAAACCCGCTGAGCTGTGCAGGGTGACATGTGCACCTCCCCAGGGGCCAGCCCGTGAACGGTCCCACCTGCTATCTTCCCTGGGGGCCGCCCACCTGCAGACTGCAGCCCACAACACCCCAGAGCCTACTGAACAAAGAAGCCCCAGGGGACTAGAAACGAACCCGAACCAGGCTCAAGGAGCCCGTCCCTGCCTCTCCCACTGACCAGACACCAGCTCTTTAACAAAGAAACCTTGTGATCCGGGGGCTGCATTTGGTTAGAGTCGCTTCATTTTGGTCCCAGTGGTCAGAGCTGGGCGGCACGCGCCGCTCCCTCACTGCAGCATTCCCAGCTGGCCCAGCTCACGGCCCGCATGTGGAACAACCTCGTTTCCAGGGACACGGAGCAGTCTGCGGGTGCGTTTCAGCCTTCAATCAGTCGGAGGGACAGGGAGCACAGTGGCTGGTAGACAGGAGGAGTGGTCCAGCCTCCTGGGGTGGGGGGGGCAGGGGGAGCAAGTGCTTGGACTCTCACCGACACTGGCAAGAGAGCAGTAAATGGGGGTGGAGGGGACATGGGGGTGGTGCGTGACCTCATTGATGAAATTGGGACTGGCCCCTCCCTGTGGCATGACCAGCCCAAAGCCCCAGGTTCTAAGTGACAAGCTCTCTCCTCTCACTGTCCCCTGAGAGCTCCCACAATCCTCTTGAGAGTCACCCCCACTGACTCGGGGCCGTAAGCCTCTCCATACGGGGCCACACGGCGGCTCTGTGCACCTGCGGGCTTCCTACCCACACCTGCCCAGGCTGCATCCCTGAGCCCTTCCATTACGGACAGTGTCCTCCTGACCCCACACTGCACCTCCCCTGCCCCCCCGCAGGTGGACCCCACCCTGCAGGGCTTGGCTCCTCCACCCACGCGGCTGACATGTGGCAGCACAGTCCAGCCATGGCAGTTCCCACTCCGATCTCCTGGTAGGGACCCCTCTTCCTGCACCAGATGGGACACCCTGGCTGGCAGGCATCTCCCTGGGTCCCCCAGGGCTCTTCGCTCACTGCCTAGGAGGTGTCTGCAGAACTTCAGTAAATGTTCACTGTCTTCTTCCAGCTTGTGTTTTCCTCTTGCCATGATGACCTTGCCTCGTGACCTCAGTGAATCCGGACATGAGATTCCTTGTATTCACGTAAGGCGGTCTCTGAGAGATGGGCTTCTTCCGGCTGGCATGCACGCTGCCACCAGCCCTCTCCCACCGGGGGCAGACATCACTAACCCACTAGGGCCTGATTTACAGGCCTCGAACCAGCTGGCTGCTCATGTTCCAGTTCACCCCCTTCGTCCCTTCTTGCATTGCCTCATCATCCCCCCACCCCCCAAGTCCTGGGACCTGGCTTGCTTCAAATGCAGCTTTGAAATTGCATAAGGCCAGAGGGACTCTTATCAGCCCCCACGAGGAGACAGTCCCCAGGCCTCCTGAGATGTGAGCTGGCACGTTCACCACACCCTTCCCCGACCTCAAATGTAATCCCCTGTGAACATTTCACAATTCTTTTTTTTTTTTTAAAGTAGGCTGCACGTCCAACGTGGGGCTTGAACTCATAGCCCTGAGATCAAGAGTCGTGAGCTCTCTTAATTGAGTCAGCCAGGCGCCCCACAGGTAGTAGGACGTCTCGAATGCAAAGGTCAAAGAACAATAACAACAAAATCAAATAAATAAATCCTGCTTCTGAAGCACATGTCCAAGACCTCACCCAGAGTGCAGTTCACTATCCTGCAGGGTAGCAGCACCAAGTCCCTTTCCCTGAACCCTGACCCTTTAAACACCCAACTGACTCTGGCACTTACAAACTCAGCTTAAGGGGGCCACTGCTTGTCATTGTTCCTTTCTAAGAATGTTAAATTGTGGGGCGCCTAAGTAGCTCAGCTGGTTCAACATCCGACTTGAGGTTTTAGCTTGGGTCATGATGTCGGGGTCATGAGATGGAGCCCCGCATCGGGCTTCATGCTCAGTGGGGAGTCTTCTGGAGACTCCCTCTCTCCCTCTGCCCTTCCCTCAACCCACACACTCTCACTCTCTCTCTCTCTCAAATAAATAAAAAAGTTAAATCTTCCAGTAAGTTTTTTTTCGCCAAACTGTTTTCCTGGGATAAAATGCACGTAACATAAAATTTACTGTCTTCATTTTCAAGCATACAGTTCAGCAGTGTTAAGTCCGTTCTCACTGTCATGCAGCCCTTGTCACCGTCCCATCTTCAGAACCCTTCTCACCCTCTAAAATGGAAACGGTAGATGCCACCCCCACTAACTCCCTGTCTCGCCTCCCCCACCCCCCACACCCGGCCCCCAGCCCCTACCTTCCTACTTTCTGGCTCCATGACTGGCACCACTCTGAGCATCTGACACAAGTGGAATCATAGCCTTTTGGTGCTTCACTGACTTTACTTAGCACAATGTCCTTGAGGTTCATGCGTGAGCCCCAGGAGCGGGTAGGCCCCTTGATGACAGCTGCCTTCTCTTCTTGTGCCTCTTCTTGGCCTCTTCCTGGCCAAGCTGGGCTCACAGTAGGCCCGCCTCCAATGCCTGCACCTCCATCAAGCGGATTCTAGCCTGTACCTGGGGGATGGGCAATCCTGCTGCTCTCGTCATGTCTGAAAGACTGAGTCACGGAAGAGGATGTCAAGAGCCATTTGCCAACCCAGGATTCTGGGCCACTGGAGAGCGAGGAACGTGGGCAGGAGAGAAAATGCCCATGACAAAGGGATGGGAAGGTCACGGCCAGGAGAAGAATAACATGGACGGCAGGCCTGGAGCTGCGCCACTCAGTGGCCCTGGAGGAGGTGATGGCACTGAGCAAGCAGGAAGACCCTCGGGTGCCAGGGGCTGCGGGCTGGCAGTTGGGCCTGTCCATGTTGAATGGAGCAGGAAGGTAAGCCCATTAACAGATGAGGGGGCAAGGCTGGAGAAGCTCCCGTGAAAATCTTGGTCACAGGGGATGACCAACATATGGTGGCTCTACTCCCCACAGTAACTGGCATAGAACAAGGATCGGACGCTTCCTCAGCGCGTTGCAGTGGAAGGTGACAGGCATGCAATCACCGCATACAGCCGTTTCTCAACAGGCACTGGAGAAACTGCCTGGCGCTTGGAAGCAAAATCGAGCTCCTTCAAATCTCAGCCCAGGGAGGAAAGACCCTCACCTGCCAAGCCTTCCTTGGCTGCCCCTTGTCAATGCTGAGATGGCGGTCCAGGCAGTGCCTGGAGGGGCCAGGCCTCACCTGGCCGAGTGACTGGGTGCTGCAGGGAAATGAGACCACCAGTTCCCCAGCCCTGCGCCGGCAGCATCCAAGCTGATGGGGAGCCACCTTGCCACAGCACGTCAGGTCCTGTCAAGGCCCTTGAAGTGTCTGGAGAGTCCCCCTTTCTTGAGTTCTGGACACCAGTCCTTGAACCTGGCAATCCTCCCCAAATGCGTGCATGCACCCATGCCTCCTGCTCCTCAAGGCCTCCTGTGGTTACAGAGAGGTTTGCCCATAAGCCCATGTAGGCTGTACAAGCCCAAGAGGGGCAGGGGCTTGCAGACAGACCCATGGACAGGCAGATGGCAATCTGGTTTCTGCAACGTCTCACCTGAAGCCAGACCCAACTCACTCTCCAAAACGCCCCTACCCCATTTTCCCACATGGAGGAGCCACATGAGAGGTGAGGACAGAGGGACAGAGCAGAGGGTAGCCTAGGCCTGGCCCGTCCCCAGGCACTCCCTGCTCTCTCCAGCCTCAGGCTTCGGCCGCTGCTGCCTGGGCCTGGCTTCCCGGGCACACCAGCAACGTCAGCGTGGAGGGCTCGGAGGCCGCAGGGTGCTGCCTAAGGTGTGGGATTCTGTTCCTCTTTGGAACACTCTGCTCTTCCTGGGCTCAGAGGAACTAATGTCCTCCCTGCACCCAGTCTTGGTTTCTGATAGGATCCAGCTCAAGACCCCTCTCTGCACCTCTGCAGTGTCCTCAGAGCTTGTGCCCCAGGAACCCACACCACAGCACGTCCACCGCTTCCCGACTCTGACTGCAGAGCTCCCCGGTGGTGTTCTAGAAACACAAATCTACTGGCTCTCAAATGTCACTATGCAGCACAGTCATGTGGAGACAGGAGCACAGCCAGGTTAGATTTAGGAACAGCTGTGGTGGTCCACGAAACACTTCTGCTTTTTATTTTTTATAATTTTTAAAAGTTTTTACTTATTTATTCATGAGACACACAGAGAGGCAGAGACACAGGCAGAGGGAGAATCAGGCTCCCTGCAGGGAGCCTGATGCGGGACTCAATCCCAGGACCCCAGGATCATGACCTGAGCCGAGGGCAGACGCTCAGCCCCTGAGCCGCCCAGGCACTGCAAGAAACACACTTTTAGAAACACTGGATATTAAAATGGTTTTGTGGGGAGCAAAAAAAGTTCAAAAAGGCTCTGTCAAATGTTTGGGATACACTGAATTAAGATTGTTAGATAAAATGCTTTATTGCTAAATTTCTCAGGGCCTTTACTGGCCTTGGATGGATATTGACTCTTCAAGTAGGTGGCGATGCAGAATGCTGTATTTTCCAAACTCTTCTGGCCAGAACCCCTCCTCATCCTTCCTCTTTATTCCACAGAACATTCCTCCCGCCTCACAGGACCAGGGTTTCACAGAACCTACTTTGGTAATGCTCTTCCCAGTGACTCTGCATCCCTTCAATTAGAAACCCTGTTTTGTTGCATCCCTCTGTGGACTGACCCTGCATCCTGGCCACAGGACCCAGCATCGTTCCTTAAATACTTTTTAGCAAGGATTCAAGTGTCCGGGCACTGAGACTCCTTCTCACAAAAGCACATTGGCTTCTTCAAGAACATCCCCCGGTCTGACATTCCTGTGGCCACAGCTTTTCTCTGAGCTCCATCCTCTCCCCAGCCCGGAGGTCAGCCCATCCCTGTCCCCCAGGTCGCTGCAAGGCCAAGGTTCTGAGAAGCCTAATCAGAAGCAACCACCCTTTCCAGCGGATGGTTTGTAGCACTTAAATGCTGCCGAATCCTTCACAACAGCCCCTTTCCCTGGCAATTAGGGGGCCTCATGCCAGGGTGAACCGTGCTACTCTCAGAACAGAGCACAAAGGGATAATGAATACTTTAGACCATGTGGAAAAAGAAAAGGAAATAGCCTGCTCATGGGCAGGGAGCCCGGAGCTGCCTTTGAGGGCCCCGTGGGTACGCCCAGCTCTCCCCAGCTCGGGGGTGGGGTGGGGGGCTGGACTCCGGGTGATGATAACAGCAAACACACTAATGTAGCACCGGCCAGCCTGTGAGTGCTTCACACTGGTGACAACCCTAGGACGCCGTCACTGGTGAGAAGACGGAGGCTCGGAGAACCTGCCTGTGCTCAGAGAGCTAGTTCCCAGGACAGGAGTGTAGACGGTGTGGCCCAGGGTTTATGCTCTTCACCGTTGCACCGTGCAGTTATACGACACCACTATGGGGTGGCCCTGCTCTAGTGCAGTGAGGTGTCTATCCCTGACGCACATCTGGGTTCTCTGGGTGCATCTCGGCCCACGTCTGGGATGGGGGGTACTGGAGGAGGGAGTCAACTGCCTGCGGTGAAGAGCAGAGGCAGTCTGGGGTGTGAGCAGGGATGCGTAAAGATGGCGCAGAGCTCTGGACTCAAGCAGATGAAACAAGGTGGGAGTGAACACTGGACGCTAGAAGGACAGGCTCAGGCAGGAGCAGTGGGGAAGCACGCCCTCTCCGGTGCTGCTATCTTTCTGTATCAGGACACAACCACACAGTGGCCTTTGCTCATGCACGTGCAGCTATGTGTGTCGACAATTCCGGCTAGAAGCGTTCAGAAACTAAGCAGAACTTGACTGAATAGGACAGCGGGCAGCAGAAGGGCCGCCCCCGTCACCGGGAGGGTCACATGTGCAGCTCCAGCCAGACGAAGCTGGGGCATGTCGGTCCAGACCTCCGCAGTATGTCCGCGGTTTGTCCCCTGCATCAGGGGACACCGAGGCAGGGTGGCCAAGCCTTTGGTCCTGGCCTCCCATAATGGAGCCGGGCAGGGGAACAGCTGCACACAGCCTGATGCTGGACACCAGGAAGAACAGGGCGGTGGAGCCCTTGCTCCTCAGAGGGCTCCCTCTCCCAGTCCATCTCCCTTCTCAGTGTAGAATGTTCTTCCACAGATTCTGTCCATCACGAGGGCCAACAGCAGGCCAGACCTTAATGTGGCTTCTCCGGCTTCTCAGACACAGGTTCCTAGCATAGCTGAGGGGAGGGCCTTCCCTTTAGACACACACGAAAACTCTCTCTGTCCTCTCCGAGGACTGCACCCCAAATCCCTTGCTCGGCCCTGACCTGTCACCACAGGTGGACTAGCCCAGTGCTTAATTCTGAGGCCACCACCCCTGCACTTGAAGGTCTTCACGCCCAACCAGGAGTCACAGGAACAAGATGAACAATGGAGGCTAGCACGTCTGCTGGCTTCGGGGACAGAGCAGGGGACTCCGAGGCTCCAGCAAGTGCTCACTCTTGTGAGTAGTAACACAGTTTGGTCTAAAAGTGGAGAGCAGGGCCCCAGGCCTGCAGACTGCATCCTGGAGGGCTGGGGAGAGTCACCCGGCTCCTCGGACCCGTGCTGCTCCCTCTGCACCACAAGCATTCGGGCTGGACTGGCGATTCCCCAGCCGAGGCGGGCACAGCGGGCGGACCATCTGAGACACTGACAGGAAAGGCCCAGGAAGGCATCTCCTAGGCCCAAACAGGGGCCCCCTACAGGCTGGGCCCCACCTCCCCTTAGGCTCCAATTAAATCAGAATTTGAGAAACAGTCCTGTCCTCGTAGCTCCGTGAGTGTGCGTGCGTGCGTGTGTTCAGCACCAAGGACAGCACCCGACACACGGGGGAGGGGGGTGGGGCGGTGGGGGGTGTGGAGACCATGAGACCTTCCCTGGGTGGCACCAGAGTTGGGTTCAGGAGCAGGAAAGACCATTCTTTTCATTCTGGAACTTTCCTATTGATCTATCCGTTCTGTCCCTTCCCCCTCGACCCCACTGTCTTTGAATTAAGACCCAAAAGGAAGACATGGGAGATAATGACTGAAGCCTGTGACCAAGTGTTATCTCTGAATCCGATCCTTTCTGCCCATTCTCTTTGGCTGACTGAGTTTGTGCTTTTGGATTTGAACAGCCGTGTTATTTGAACTTGCCCTGGACTGGGCCACACCACAGGCCACTTCTGGCTGGCTTCCTATTCGGCATCTGCCGAAACACTGGGGGCTCGTCGATTATCCGCATCATCCATGCTGCCCAATGCCCTGTGCGGAGAAAGGATCCCATCCTCCAAGCCTCCTCACTAGGCCTTCTTGAAGCTCTCCGGGCCCCAGGGATACCCCCTTCCTGCCAGCCCTAGACTCAGAACCACAGAAGGCCAGGAAGGAAAGGAACTGAGCCCAAGGGTGCCCTCTGGGCTCTACAGACGTGCTCCCAGGGCAATGAGGTGGATGGAGCGGGAGGGACAGACAGCAGGTGGGCTCCCCCTTCCCCTGCCTCACCAAGCAGTTTTGCAGCTTTTGCTTTTCTGCATGGGATTTCACTGAAAGTTTCTGATGAAAAAAAAAAAGGTTCTATTCTTTAAAAAAAATTAACTTTTATATTAGATCATTGTAGATTCAGATCAGCTGTAAGAAAGAACACAGAGATCCTCATCCCTTTACTCAGTTTCCCCCCAGGGGGAAACTTGTAAAATTACAGTTTCAATATTCAAACTAGGATATCGACACTGATGGAGTCAAGATGCAGAACATTCCCATCAGCACAAGGTTTGCACCTGTTGCTTTTTTGTACCAAACCCACTTCATTCTGCCCCTCCTTTTCCTAATCTCAGGAACTGCTAACCGATTCCCCGTTCCTATCATCTTGTCATTTCAAGGATGTCCTATTTATGGAATCAGAGTATGTAACTTTAGGGGACTGGCTTTTTTCACTCGGCATGGTTCCCTGTAGATTCACTCGGGTTACTGCGTGTGTCAGGAGCCGATTCCTTTTCACTGCTGACAGCCACAGCTTGTTTTAACTGTTCACCTGTGGAAGGACATCTGGGTTGTTTCCAGTTCTGGGCTATTATAAATGAAGATGCTATAAACATTTGAGTACAGGTTCTTGTGTGAACATAAGTTTTCATTTCTCTGGGATAAACACTCAGGAGTAAAACTGCTGGATCATATGGTATTTGCAGGTTTGGTTTTTTCAGAAACTGCCAAACTGTTCTCCCGAATGGCTATACCACTTTTCACTCCTACCAGCTACGTACGAGTGATCCATCCTCTCTGTATCTTTACCAGCATTCAGTGTCATCATTTTTTAATTAGCTATTTTGATAGGTGTGAAATCTCTCATTGTGGCTTTAATCTGCACTACCCTTACAGTTAATCATGCTGAACATCTTTTTTCAATTAGCAATAATCGCGCCTCGGATAAACCTCATTGGCTACGATACTGCCACTGCGCAAAGCTGAACATCTTTTTTGCATGCTTATTTGCCTCTGTACATCCTCCCTCCTCAGGGAAAAATGTCTCTTCATGTCATTTATACATTTTCTAATTGTATTGTTCTAAATGCTGAGTCTGGGGAGTTCTTTATATATTCTGGATACTAGTCTTTTGTCAGATACATGTTTTGCAAAATTTTCTCCCCATGTTATTTGTCTCTTCATCCTCTAAACCGGGGTTTTCCCAGAGCAAAGTTTTTAATTTTGATAAGGTTCAACTTCTCATCTCAACATTAACATCTACTGATGGTCTTTTTTCCATTTAGTTTGAAATATCTCTGGTTCTTAGTATGACAAATTATTTTCTTAAATTACAATGAGGACACTTTCATGTTATGTCATGAGACCTTCAAACGTATTTAAATTTTCTGTTTAACTCTCTTTTTGTGATAACGCTCTGGCAGGGAAACGCAGGAGGGGACACAGCCCCATTACTGCCAATAGAGGTAGACATCCAGGGTGCACTTGTTATGGCTCCATGGAAGTGAGAATTCCAGGACACCACAGAGTCCCCAGTGACCCTACGTGGGGATGGCCTCATTACCACTGGGCACGGTGGAAATCCCAACTTTCTATTAGAATTTCCTCTGACGCAATGCAGCAGGGAGGGAAGGGGTGCCTCCATACTGCTGACTGGGGGTGGAAGTTGAGGCCCCCACATGGTCTCCAATAACACCACGGGGTGGCTAGGGATCCTTCTTACAAGCTGGCAGGGATGAAAATTCCAGCTTCCTGCCAGGCCTTCCCTGACACCACCCCAGGAAGGGCGGGAGGGCTCATTACAACCCTGTGAGACTGGCAGTCTAGACTCTCACTGGGTATTTGCTGGTGTGGGTGAGGGTAGAGCCACACTTTCTTCTGTGCTATTTGGTTGGAGTAAAGCAGTTATCATCTAAAACTTTTCTATCTTGATAGGTTGCCCTTTGTCTGGATTTTGCTTAGAGAGAATAGACTTCTTTAAAAAAAAAAAGATTGTGTTTATTTATTTGAGAGAGAGAGAGAGCACAAGAAGAGGGGAGGGGCAGAGGAAGAGCAGGAAGCCCAACGTGGGGCTCGATCCCAGGACCCTGAGGTCATGACCTGAGCCGAAGGCAGATGCTTAACTGACTGAACCACCCAGAAGTCCCTGAGAGAATAGACTTTTATTGGGACTTTAAAAATCTGTGTCCACTACCATTTCCTCATTACCTCTTTCTTCAGCTCCAAGTCTGGGATATTAAAGGCAAAGAGAAAACCCAGGGAAGTCACCACTGTGACCTTGCTCAGGTCCCCAAAGGCCTAGCTGGTCTGCCTTCTCATCTCTACCTTTCAGAATCTTATGCTTGTTTTTTTTTTTTTTCAAAATGTCCAGGATTCCACTTAGCAGGAGGAATTAAAATTAAAAAAAAAAAAAAAAGAATATCTATTCCATCTTCCTCAAAGCAGAAATCGAGGTCTGTATTTTTAACAAAATATTTTGATGGCCTTAAGTCTAGATCATCTTGGTTTTTTTTTAGGGAGACAGGCTACTGCAGTCTGCCCCATGACTGAACCATAAGTCAGAGGGACAGAAGCTAGAACCCATATCTCCTGGCTCTCAGTCAGGCACTGTTCCCATGACAGCATGGTGATTCCTGCCCCAACGCCTGCGCATCTGACCTCCTCTGCCAGCTGCAAGCTCCCCAGCAAATGCCCCACTGCTGTCTGTATTCACATACTGCTCTGGACTATTGTTTTCCCATGAGAGAAAGTCTCACTTCTCTAGGCAGATTCCAGGTTCTCTGAGGACAGAGACCAGGCCACATGGTTCATACTACTTACAGCAGGGGCTCCACAGATCACTGCTGACTGTTCCCCTACAAATCAGCCATCGACACTGTTTTAAATATTATATCCTGGTTCCTCCAGGTGAGCTGGAACCAGAAGGCACCTTGAGGACAGGGATGGGTATTATCTTCTGGAAAATAGAGGCTCATGTGCTGGAGCACCAGAGTTTGCAGAACCAGATCATGCCAGCAGGACCGTGTTCAGCTCGGGGAAGCTTATTAGGAGGACTCATAGTCCATAGTTACAGTGCTCCCAGGAGGGAACTCAGGGTGGGACAGGACCTATGAACCATCAGGTCATGTCCCAGGCATCTCAGCGCTGCGGTGTAAGTGCCTGTCTTCTCTCTAACCTCTATGGAAACAAAGACTGTGTGCATCACCTTCTCCATCCCCCTTCCCTTCCCACTTCCCAGCAAGCTGCCCTCCATGATGATGTGCTGACTGGATCAACGAAACCGAAACCGATAAATAAACAGAGGATCAAGCCAACTTAACTGTGACAAAGGGAGACAGCTGTAGGAATGAGGACTTTTAGTTTAAAATGCAGATCGGCTGTGCTGCCCTGCTGTGAGAGGGACCCAACAGTCATGAACAAAGGGAATAAAACGAACACCAGCAATTGGAGTTAGGCAAGGTGGTTTGGGGCCAAATCAAAGAAAGATGTTCTAATCAATGGAGCTGCCTAAAAATGTTCTGAGATGCCTTTTAAAGCAGTGAGCTTCCCATTACTGGAAATGGCCGGCAGCTCCGCAGCCACGTGCAGAGGTTCCTGCGCTGCAGGGTGGGGGTTTGGATGGGGTGACCAGGGTTCACAGGATACCTGCTTAGCTCCAGATCTGATGTGGGAGAAGGAGGTCAGCTCCAGTTTCTGGGGGGCTTCTCCTAGAGGTGGCACATGTAATAGTTATTCTAGCCAGTCACCAAATAGTTCTGGTCTCCTGAATTCCAGGTACATAGTGGGATTATATTTTTTAGTGTGCTTGTGGTTGGGTGGGACCATGTGACCACCGCTTGTGGTTGGGTGGGACCATGTGAGTTCTGGGCAACAAGCGAAGAGGGGAAGTGATGTGTTTCATATCTGGATTGGAGTGTTGACTTGCCCATGCAAGATCCTTCAGGGGTCCTTTTCCCTCTGTCGTGGTGACTAGTGAGAATGGCAACTGCTTCCCATCAAGCTGGATCCTGAATGGGTTGTTTAAAGTTACCGAGGTTCAAGGCTCTTTGTTGCTGTGGCATTACCTGGGCAATCCTAATTGATGCCAGGGGACAGGCTTTACCTGGATGGAACCAGAGACAACAGAAGGTACACAAGGTACACCAGCAGGGGTGGGGATGGACAGCAGTTCCAGCATCTCAGCAGGGTGCACAGATACCTCTGTATGTACCACCCTCATTCCCACCTATAACCCCCAATGCAAACCACCCACTCCAGGTGTGCTCTCATCTGCTGCCCTAACACCCCAATATTATACCCAACTTCAGTTCAAGCCTTGTGAACACCATTTCTCCTCTCTTCCCCTCCATCTGGTCAAGCATCCTATTCCTGAGGGCACAGATCAGCTCTCTTGTCCTGCAAAGCATCTCTCTACCCACAGAGATGAACAGAAGCACTCTTTGGAATGATTGTAGTATCTGTGGTCAGGAGGTCTCTTTGGGGGACTTACCTGGGTGACTTTAGCCTGTTCTATGTTAACTAGCCTCTACTCTAAAAACAGGTAGTGACCCCAAAGACTCCAGTTCATCTGTGTCTGCCACACTTACAGGAAATACTCAATAAATAGAGAGCAGCGCCATGAACATGACATTTCTTAAATATCCACAGAGGTTAAGTAAAAATCTAGGTACTTCTACTAAGATATCATTTGTACTAATGAGTTTTTTAAAAAAGATTTTATGTATTTATTCATGAGAGACACAGAGAAAGGCAGAGACACAGGCAGAGGGAGAAGCAGGCTCCCTGCAGGGAGCCCAATGCAGGACTCAATCCCAGGACCCCAGCATCACACCCTGGGCCAAAGGCAGAAGCTCAACTGCTGAGCCACTGCTCAGAGGCTCCACTGCCGTTGTGCACATTAATTTTTTTGCTTGGCACTTCTGTGCAGAGAAGAGCTGCTAGCTCCTGACCTCATACAATCTTTCATATGCCTTTGGCTCTCTTACCCAAATGCTAAATCCCATGCTGGCACCTTGAGATATTTTCTAAATGCACCAGATTGTAGTCTCCCCTATTAGCTACTTTCCTGTAAATCATCTCCACAATGATTCCCCTACTACTGTGAAAAGCTGGGAACTACTGCAACTTCCTAACTAAGTGACTAGGTGATGGATGAGCTCTCTTAGAAAGAGGCTGCCAGGATGCCAGAGAGTCCCCAATACAGCTGAATCCCAATTGTGGGCAGGTGGGAGCCCATTTTCCTCCGAGCTCCTTCCTCCCATCTCATGGGACTCAGCCTGCCTGCGGTTATCCTCACTCTGTGCCTCTGAAAGGACTCAGAGAAAGCAAAGGTTATCCCCTTCTCCCTCTCCCTGTATTAGTTGAAATAACAAAATAAATAATCCCAGTGCGTGGCTGATGTCCAAATGGTGCCTGGACCTGGACTACTCATTCAAAGCATGGTTGGTGACTGGCCACACAGAACTCCCAGGGCAGAATGCAGAACCTCAGTATCCTCCTGCTGGCCCCCCTTTCCTGGGCTCACGTGGCTAAGGGGGAATGCCAACTCAGCCAGCCCCTCCAGTTCCATTCTACCTTTAGTTCTCCCTGAAATCCTCCCCCACTGGGTGAATGTGGGGTAGTAGAGCTGTTCCACCATCCCATGGCCTCAAAAAGCTCACTCAGCAGAATTGGTGGCCAGAGGAATAGGGCCCACCAGGGACTAATTATGTGGACTGGACCTCAGCCAACGTAGTGCAGTCTCAAGAGTTTTACTTAACTGGGTGACTATTGTGTGCAAAGTTCTAGATTGGGGGTGGTCAGGGATACAGAGGCAGCCCTAGCGCTCATCTTGAGGTTGACCAGTTGGTTGAGGGGATAGTCGAATGTATGTGGAATAGAGCTTGACTGCAACATGAATTTGTGTGGGAGTGTCAGCCCGAATAGGAGGGTGCAACGAGAACAGTGGGTGGGCTCACAAGGCTGGTCGTGTTCCTAAGCGCCAGGGCCTACACCTGGTGGACCAGGATGAAGGAAGCCTTGAAGGATGTACCCACGTGCCCAGCAAATGCACTCTTCACAGCTCCCTGGTTCCCCCTCCATCTGGGAGCTACTTAGGACAGTGTGGGTAAGGGCTTTCTTTGTCGTGCAGTCATCTACGGGATGCTGACCAGCTTTGATCCCTCCACCAGAGGGCACCAGAAGACAGCGACCTCATGAGGGAAAGTCCAGGGCTCCCTGGGCTCAGGGTGGGGCTCCCACTGGCAGGAGCAGGGACAGGGACCTGAGCCAGCGTGGGCCATGGGGATAAAAGCAGCACTCCAGAGGGGGCAGAGCAATGAAAAGGAAGCAAGTGATCCCAACACTGCTGGGCAGTCATGCCAACCCTGCACACCCACCCAGGCTGGTGGTGAGAGAGAAAGAAATTCTCATGTTGTTTACACCACTCTCCTGTTTGTACCCCAATTAACTGAATCACTAATGTCAAAAAATTAGGCCCTGCCTTCTACTACAGTGTATCTCTGCTCGTGGACACCATGGGCTCTACAACCCCCAAGGCAGCAGGCACAGGAGGCTGAGACCATGGTTGTCACTCGCTGCCGGGGTTGCTCTTCTGCTTCTTATAAACAGATGTCTCTCCCGTCCTTCCTCTGAGCTGATCAGATGGACTCTACATGAGGACAGTGGGCATGCCTAAGGCCTTGTGACTTCCAGGACACCCCTCCCCAAAAGGCCTTGTCCCCTTGGCACATCAGGGAAGAGAGGCAGGTTTATATGTTTATCTTTAATTTTAATTTCAATTATTTTTTAAGGGGGGGGGGAAACAAGAGTAAGTGGGGAGAAAGGGGCAGAGGGAGAGGGAGAAAGAGAATCCCAAGCAGGCTCCATGCTCAGTGTGGACCCTGAGATCATGACCTGAACCAAAATCAAGAGTTGGTGCTCAACTGACTGAGCCACCCAGGAGCCCTGAGGCAGGTTTATATTATCCAGACCCCATCTCCACCTTCCTGGGGCTCTTCCCCCATAATGAATCTATGTCTCAGTTCCACCTGCCAAGAAAGGATCAAATATGAGCTTTTTATGATTTCTTCCTTAAATTCAGTTACATTCATTTTGTCTAACCTCAGTTGCCTCCTGAAGTAGGGATTGGGGGTCAGTTGGGGCTCCATCCCACAGGTCCCCAGCCCTGTTCCGTCAGCCTATGGTCTGGCCAACTCCCCACCCACCATCCTCCAGGGGCATGAACCTGGCCATGAAAGGACAGCATGGACGGCTTGGGGTGAGAGAGGCAGATGAGGGGCAAGTGGGAGCACAAGTTGTTCTTAGCCCCCAGGAATCCTGTTGGGAGTGACAGGAGAATGAGATCAGAGGGAATGGGTGGGAAGAGGGGGCCGAGAAAAGTTAATAAAGGGGAGAGAAAAAAAGGAAGATTCTGGAAAATTCCAGAACCAGACACCTACTGATAGTTTTTTGGTCTCATTTATCAGCCACTTATGTCCCCTACCCAAGAATTTCAACCCTTCCCTGGAACCCTCTGTCTGGTTCTTGAGTCCCCAGATCCAAGATACCACTTTTGCCACTGAGAGTTAAAGTTGGAAACCCAGGGTAATTGGCAGACAATTACAAGCCATGGCTGGAGGTACTCAGGGAGATAACACAGGGTCCCTGACAGTGTATTAGACTGCACTGGCAGTCTAATGGTAGGGACAGAAGCCCTCCATGGAAGGACACCTACCTAGAGTAGGTAGGTAGGTTCCTACAGTAAAGCAAGATAAATGGCCCAATGGGGGAGGGGCAGGTGAGAGATCAGGGTTCAAGGCGCAGCTGGGTCAGGTCATTACACCTCCATGGACTTCAGTTACAAAGCAGCATGGAGAAACCATCGAGTTTCCTGATTTTCATAGGAGGAAGCTGAGGCAAAAAGAATTTCTACCAAGTTTGTGGCAGAGCAAATAGGAGAACCTGGGTCTCCTGCCTCCTCTCCTGCCACAACCCCACCCCAGGGTTCTTGTTATGCCCTCCTACCCAAGAAACAACGAAACACACACAAACATCTTGTAGTGTGAGAGAGCAGCTATCCCCCCACACCATGGTGTACAAAGCCCTGCAGCCTAAGAAAGACCTAGAACTGAGGCCACTGACCATCTTCACTTAGGACAGAATAGACATGAGTTGATGTAACTGGTTCCATGGGATTGGAGTCAGACACAAGAAAGTAATATGTGGTAAAGTAATTACTCAGGGTAATATGTGAATGCAGCTGCTCTGAAATTGGAAGCCCATAAAGGCTCAGGCACAGTGGGCTGAAGGTTAGGGATGGATGGTTTTTTTTAGCCTCCAATCCCTGGTCTCCCACAGGCAGGAATAAGGTATCAGCAAAAACAGCTGGACGCCTTGAGGGTGTACGGGGGCCTGAGGGTCACCAGAGCGGCTGCCTCTTCCCTCCCAGCCACATGCCCTGCACCTGTGCGGGTGCCCCCTTGGGATCTTACAGGCAAGCAGCAGGCTGAGAGGAACAGTGGGCTCCCACCAGGTCTAGGAAGCTATCTATTTTCCTAGATGGCTGTTGAGGGTCGGGGGGATGGACAGGGCGCTGACACCTCACCCCCACATTCTGCCCCTCTGGGTCCTCTGCAAACCTGGAGCAGAAGTGATCTCCAGTGCCCCGCCTACACCCAATCCTAGGACTCCCACTGTTCGTGGGATCCATCACCAACGCTGAGTATGAACTTCCAAGTTCAATCATGCTACTACCGTATACTACTCCACGTATCATTTGTCCACTGTCCCCTTAATGGACAAGCAGTTATTTGCAGATGTTGATGCAAAAACCATCAAATGATGAAAAAAAAATCTCATGAATCTATGTGTTTTGAGGAGGGGGTGCTTCACTATGGGCTGGGAGTTTGGAGAGAACTTTCCAGAGAGTAGATTGCACCCTCTCCTCTCCTATTTCCTGATCTCTCCACATCACCACTGCTCAGGTCAGCCATCATGAGCCAGCCCAGGAACCCAAATAGACAAGACATGGGACAACCCCAGAAAGAGGACAGAGCTGGTTCCCTACCTGCTGTGGGGGGGCTCGCCCTCGGGAGAAGGAACAGCTGCTGTCCAGCTGCTCACTGCAGTCTGCTGTCCACTGCAGGAGAGAAAGGAGCGGTCAGTGATGGCTGGACACATAGGCTCATCCTCATCCTGTCAGGGCCTTCCAGATACAGCCCTCCCCTTCTGCAGTAGAGCCAAGATAAACTCTTACTTGACCACTGTCAAAGGCAAACTGTTCCCTACCAGCAGGTCCACTTTGGTCCACTTTTAAAATCTTCTCCAAATTCCACCTTGAGGTGACCCCTTTGGTGTATGCTTGGGGAAGACAAAGTTACTTCCCTTCATGTAAGCCCACCAGAGTGATCAAGACCCAGCTCCATTCCAGAGCCAACTACACACGACATAGGGTGATTGTGTTTGGAACAAGCAGCACTGCATCTAATGGCCTGACCTGGCTTTGACCACACTTGCCCTCCGCAGTGTCCAGACTAGACTTGGAACCGAGGCATATTCATGTGCATTTTCCCATATACCCAGCTCCAGGAAACAATGGGTCTGCAGACTGACAGGACATCGTGGCACCAGGGAAGAGTCCCAGACTGGCCATCAGAAGCCTGGCTCCCGCCCAGTTCCAGCACTCACTCCCCAAGAGCTCAGGGATCCAGGGTACTGCAAAGTATGGTCTGATGACCACTTGCATGAGATTCCCCCTAAATCTGCTGCACAGGCATCCCTGGGCTCCACCCTCTGAATCAGATGTGGAGCTTTTGCGTTTTGACAAGTTTCCCTAGTGAGGAACTGGAAGTTTGAGGGTTACTGAAATGCATGGATTTCCCAGGCTTCACTTGGTCAACTACAAAATGGGGCCAGTAAGACTGAGTGACCACAGGGTAGAAGTGAAGGACTTCTGTAAACTTATAAAAACACTGTAGAAAAGCACCTGGGTGGCTCTGCATCTGCCTTTGGCTCAGGGTGTGATCCTCCTCACAGGGAACCTGATTCTCCCTCTACCTGTGTCTCTGGCTCTCTCTCTGAATAAATAAAATCTTTAAAAAACACTGCAGAGATAGGAAGTAGTAGCAACAGTACAGCCTTTCCTCTGTAAGGTCCCATCTAGCTACATGGTGGTGTTTTTTTTTAAATTTTTATTTATTTATGATAGTCACAGAGAGAGAGAGAGAGAGAGGCAGAGACACAGGAAGAGGGAGAAGCAGGCTCCATGCACCGGGAGCCCAACGTGGGATTCGATTCCGGGTCTCCAGGATCGCGCCCTGGGCCAAAGGCAGGCGCCAAACCGCTGCGCCACCCAGAGATCCCCATGGCGGTGTTTTTATTATTGTGTTAAACGTTAGCTAGCCCCTTTGGCTAATGTTGAACACTGACCTTGACCTACGCCCAGGGTGATACATGAAGAACAGAGGTGCCCAATATCTCTGACGCTATTTGATCAAAACTGAGAGTGAGTGTGGATGGCTTGAGGCCAGTGCATTCATGGTGTTGTACAACCTTAGCTGGTCACGCTCTCCTGACTCTGGGTCAAGGGCATGACATATGTTATAGCACTGCTGACACAGGCCGGTGCAGGTATACTCTCGGGCAGTGCCCTCTGAATGAAATAGTATGGGAGCCACAAACAGGAGCCACAGGTGTATTTTTAAATGCTCTAGCAGCCAGATTTTAAAAAGGAAAAGGTTCACTTAAATTTAATAAGATATTTTATTTATCTCAGTATATCCAAAATATGATCACTTCAATAGGTAATCAATATAAAGCATTATTTTTAAAAAGATTTATTTATTTATTTATTTATTTGAGAGACACAGAGAGTGGTGAGGGGTTGGAGAGGGGCGGAGGGAGATAGAGAATCTTAAGCAGATTCCCTGCTGAGTGTGGAGACCCACACAGGGCTCCATGCCATAACCCTGGGATCATGACCAGAGCCAAAACCAAGAGTTGGCTCCTTAACTGACTGAGCCACCCAGGCACCCCTAAAACATTAATGAGATCTTTTATATTCTTCTTTCCATATCAAGTTTTTAAAATCTACTTTGACCACGTGTCAGATTGGGCCAGCCACATTTCAAGCGCTTGAGACACATGAGTAGTGGCTGTCGTATTGGATGGCACAGCTTGAGGGAAACGGCAGGGGCAGCGGTCCCAGGCAAGTGTGCCCTCGCAGCCCGTCTGGCCCATCACTGTTGGGAGCTGCGGAGGAGCTGAGCCCTGCAGACTGCAATTCCTGGCTCCTATGTCAGCTGGCTTCCTGCTGCACCACTGGAAGCCAGGAAGAAGGGAAGAGCCAAGGCGGTTCTCCTCTTTCTCTACACCTCAGGTGGCACTACCGACCATGACTGGGTCTCCTTCATGGCTCCAGACCTCACCAGATAGGCCTTCTCATGCATGACCCTGACCCCCGGGCTCTGGCAACACCATCCCTTCCTTTTGTGCCTCAGGCCTGGTGGTGGGATTGGCCTTCTGTGCTTGCTGGTCTCTGGCTTTTTTTGCTTCTCAGCACCTTTATCATTTGGGTAACCAACTGCCTGGATTAAATGCCCTCTGTCTGGATATTTGCCATCTCAAAGCATCTCCCCCCAAGATATTTATGAATTGTATTAATAATTATAATAAATAATTGATCCTATGAAGGCAGGTGAGAAATCCATCAGATGCCACCTTAACCGAGACATGGGGGAGAACACTGGTCATCGTGAAACATATCAACCTCATGGACTCCCCGGGATGACATGCTGAAAAGGGCACGTCGCTTCTGGGGTGTTCCTGCCAAAAATGCACAACCGCAATTTAATCAGGAGGAAACACTGGGCAACCCAATACATAAACTTTCTATAAAATAAGTAACCAGCATTCCTCAGGCCAAGGTCATGGAAGAGCAGACCTAGGAAGTGCCCACAGATTGGAGAAGAATAAGGAGACACGACAACTGGCTATTAAACTACTATAAAAACAACCCCTCTGCTTTATATCCTTGCAGTGGTTTCTCCTTTCCTTGCTGAGGCCTGGCTCACAGGGTCGGGGATGGCCAAGGCACACAGCGACTACTGGCTGGGATCACGCACCCTCCATCCCATCCTAGCAGAGCCCTGCAGAGAAAGGCTTCCCCCCCGTTCTGCGTGTCCCAAGCATTTCATCCCCAGCTGCAGAGCACCCATGTGACACCTCACAGAACAGAGGCTTGCGGGTGGGCATAGCAAGGGGGGCAGCAAGGCAGGGCAGGAAGCCTCAATGGCTCCTCTCCACAAGCAAGCAGAGAGAAGGCTGGGGTCGCATGCACCGCTAGCTGGAACCTCGCCCCCTCGTTAGGCTTTCCGAGAGCAGATCCAAGCTCCTGGGAGATGGTTCTGCTTTGTCAAAGTCATCCTCCACTCAGTATCTGCCAGCCAGGAGCCATTTCCTGGAGCTTTTGGTACGGGAGCCGCAACAAGCACCTCCCTTCCTGGGAGAGGTGAGGTGTCCAAAGACAGTGATGCCAGGTGGAGGGCAAGGCTGAGAGGAGGAGGAGTGTGCCCTTGGCAAGGGGTTGGGGAGTGGGTGCAGGGAATTCAATGGCCAAGCGGGGTTTCCCAGAAAAGTAGGAGCTTGGGTGTGGACACAGGCAACAGAACCCCGCCAGCTCACAGGCAGATTGCAGCAAACACGACTCTCTGGCCCGGGCACTCAGAGACTTTTCCTGTAGCCAGGGTCAGAAGAAGGGGGTGACCTTGCCAGGGGAGGGCGTCATGAGAGCTGTGTTGGGGAAGGCTTCCTCGCCTGGCGGGGTTGGGGTGGGGAGCAGGTCAGGAGGCTAGAGTCCAGCATCCAGGTTTCCACGGCCAGTGGAGGCAGACACGGAAATGAAGGCATGGATCTGAGAGCACGGCACAGACGCAGCCAGCAGAGGGGTCCATGGGAGTGGAGAGCAAGCGAGACTGGGACTCTGCAGAGACCCTCCCAGAGACCTGGTCAGGGCTGGACACTGTCACTGGAGAAGGGACTGTGGTGTAGCTGTGCAAGGCTTTCCTGACCCCCAGGGCAGGAAGTAAGCAGGAATCCCTGCACTTGTCACACAAAGCACTTCCCACTGGGCTTCCTAGGCTCCCACCTCCAACCCCTGACAAGCAGCAGTCCCAGGGAACTTCTCTGGCCTGCTGCTGGCTGCCTGGTGCCCATCACCTTGGGGAGGAGGAGGGCTCCTTCCTCCACCCTAAAGCCCCTTGGGACTCCCTTCCCCCACTCCAAAGCTCCTCCCCACCTCGGCTGGGATTGCTTTTAGGCCTCAGCCCTCACCTCCTGCCTCCCCTTCACCTTTTCTGAGCCACCCTCATCTAGAAAAATCTCCAGACACAGACCTTCCCTGAACCTGCCCTTAACTGTATGAGGTGATTCCAGAATGGAGAGAAGGGCCCCCACCTGGAGAACGCTCTCATCTGTCCCACCCTCCAGGGCTGAGTCCAATGCTAGAGAGTTTCTCCTTCGAGGTAAACTGGTTAATAGCTAGGAGCAGGTCCTGTGGGGGAGGAGGTAGTGTTCTCCTGACAAGGTCATTGGACACCATGGAACAAAGAGGCAGGCAAAGGGGGAAATTTTTATATATGGAAACGACAAACATTGAATTCATGAGAGCGGTGTGAGGCCTCCACCATGGCTGCTACAATTTATTTCTTATTTTAAAAAACCTGAAACACAGATGGCACAGGGTTAAGATTTCATAAACAGGGGAGTACAGATGTTTGTTCTATACTCAAAATGGATGCTTATTCTATCTTTTGCTCTTATCAGCACATTTAAATTATTTCACAGTAGGGTCCCCTGGCTGGCTCAGTTGGTGAAGCCGGTGGCTCTTGATCTTAGGGTTGTAAGTTCAAGCCCCATGTTGGATGTAGAGATTACTTAAAATAAAATAAAAAATCTTTAAAAAATAAATAATTTCACAATGTAAAAAATATATATATATATATTAAAATCAGTTCTGTCATTTGCATCCCAGGCGGGAAAATAGTTTGGGAGCAGACCTGGAGAAAGAGGAAACCACTAAGCACTGAGGGAGGAAAAACAGAGTGGGGAGGCTGGGCTGCTAAAGATAAACCACCCCACTTTTCAATGGTACGAACCCCCCACCCCCACCCAGGGGTTGCACTTCCTGATATCCTGATATGACCAGGCTAGAGCCCAGCCAGCACGTTGACTCAGTGCAGGATGAGACAAAGACATAATTGACAAAACTGCATCCATAAAGAGATGTGCAATGGGGAACTGAGGTTATAGATTACATAATGATAAGAACAGTGTTTCAAATCAGGGGAAAGGGAAGATCATCAATAAACACTGGGGCTGAGAGAACCAGAGGAAAGTGAGGAAAAATTAACCTCGATGTCTGCCCCACACTATCCATCAATGGCACATTCCAAGCTGATTAAATGCCAAGGTATGTGCTTTAAACTACACTGAAATCTAACGCTTCTGCATGACAAAAGAAATCATGAACAAAATTAAAGCCAAGTGAGAGGCTACTTGCAGCATGTATAACAAGAATGAATTTGTCAGAATATATATATATATATATATATAAAGACTTTATTTACACCTAGCGTATTACATATATTAACACTCTTCATAGAGACCTACGCACATTTATTATGCCCACTTTGCAAATATGGAGGCATGGCTTGGCTGATAACTTCCCCAGGGTTGCACAGCCAAAAAGCAGCAGAATGAGTAAAGGCATAAATAGCTTTTAACTCAAAGAGCCAATAAAAGTGTTGGATACTAAATGTAACGTGTGATCTTGGATTAGACAGTGAACCATAATTTCTTTTATTATAGTAAAATACACAGAACATAGAATGTACCATTCTACTCACTTTTAAGAGTATATTTCAGTGGCATTAGGTCCATTCACGTTATTGTGTAGCCGCCACTAACATCCGTCTCCAGGACTTTTTTATAATTCCCAAACTGAAACTCTGTCTCTATCAAACACTAACCCCTCGGCCCCGTCCTCCCCGACCCTACTACCCACTTCTCTATCCTGCTTTCACTCTATGTGAACTTCACTAGTCTAAGTGTCTCATGGAAGCGGAATCCCACATTATCCATCCTTTTGTATCTGGTCAATTTCACTGAGCATAAAGTCCTGAAGATCCATCCACGGTGCGCATGTCATAGGATTTCCTTTTTTTCTTAAGCCTCAACACTATTTCATGTATGGATAGACCACATTTGATTTTTCTAGTTGTCTACTGATGGACACTTGGGTTGTTTCCTCCTTTTGGCTATTGTGAATAATGCTGCTACGAATATGGGTGTAGAAATATCTGTTCACGTACTTGCTTTTAATTATTTGGGATGTATATCTAGAAGTAGAATTGCTGGATCACGTGGTAATTCTATGTTTAACTCTTGAGGAACATAGCTTTTTTTTGGTATAAAGGTTATTATTGGAAAAACTGGTGACATATCAAGTCCATAGATTAAATAATATTGTTTCAATGTTTATTTCCTATACTGTGACTACGTAAGAGAATGTCCTGGTTCTTAGAAAATACACACTGAATTCCTATATTTAGGAATAAAGGGGAGTCTGCACCTTTACTCTCACATCAAAACATCTCTTGATAGAATCTTTCTCTCTAGCATTCTAAAAGAAGGGAGAGCTGGAAAACAAAGGTGGTAAAATATTTTATCCAACTATTAAACTGGATACTCTGGGTAAAGGATATGCAGGGATTCTTTGTACTATTATTGCCATTCGTATTTACATCTGAATTTATTTCAAAGTGAAGAATCCTTTAAAAAGTCATCTTATCCATCCAGGACTTCCGAATCAACTAGGCGGCCAGACAACCCAGGGAGCAGTGTGAGGGTCAAGTGGAAGCCACTGCTTTCTCGCAAGACCCAGAAAGGGGATGTGGCTTCCTCAGGGCCTCATGGAGCTCAGGCACACGGCAGCCAGGAGCAGAACCCTGCCAGCCTCAACACTGGGTTTCTCAACTTCAGGAACATATTCCTTTACACTGGGCACATGGGCTCACTGAGCAGGAGAGGAGAAACAAGAAGGGGAGGTGGGAGCAGAGCCTGGCTGGCAGCCCACTGTCCCTCTGCATGGTGCTCCAGGAAAGCCTTGTGTGCGAGGGGCAGGAGACGCTGCCCAAACGCTGAGGTTTGAGAGGACAAAAGGCTTTTTGCTCCTATCTTAAAAAAAAACAAAAAAACAAAACAAAACCAAAAAACAAAAAACCTCCCAGTTCTAGAGGCAGTTTAATGTAGTGATTAGGAGCTTGAGTTCCTGAAGCAGTGAATCTTGAGCTCCTATTCCCACCCTATCACTTACTCTATGACCTTGGACGAGCCACTTTATCCCTAAGACTCCACCTCCCCAACCTATAATAATTGACAGACACTACCAACAGCACAAAGGGTACGTGTCTGGCTCCTGGAGTAAGACCACCTGGTTCAGACTGCAGATTGGCCACATGCTTGCTGTGTGACCCTTGGGCAGCTTATTCAACCTCCCTGTGCCTTAGTTTCCCCCCTCGTGAGCTGGCAACAATAACTGCACCTTCACAGAGTTTAGTGAGGAGCACATGAGTTAACGTGGACACACTTTGGTGCTTTGTCGGCTCCTGCTCATCTCCTCAGCCTCGCAGGGCTCAATATCGGGCCCTCTTCACCAAGCTCCTCATTCCTGGGCTAACAAGGCCATCCACACGCCACTATGGACACACATGAGTCTCCAGGTCACTCCTGTCCTCTCAATGCCACCTTTGCGCATCTACCTGCTTGATCAGCATCTCCACCGAGACGTTAACACTATCGTGAACCTTCCACGTTCCAAAACTGAGCGCTTGACCTTTGCTCCCCAAATCTACTCTTTCAGGGCCTCCTATGTATCTCATTTCTGCCAAGTCTATGCCTCTATTTACTCAGGCTAAAATCCATTCATCAGAAAATCATGTGATTTGTACCTTTTTTTTTTAAGATTTTATTTATTTATTCCTGAAAGACACAGAGAGAGAGAGGCAGAGGGAGTAGCAGGCTCCATGCAGGGAGCCCGACATGGGACTCGATCCCGGGTCTCCAGGATCACACCCTGGGCCGAAGGCAGACGCTCCACGGTTGAGCCCCCCAGGCGCCCCTATTTGTACCTTTCAGGTATAACCAGAACCTGACCACTTCTTACCACCCACATGGTGATTCCACTGCTCGAGCCACCATGGCCTCTTGCCTGGACCAGCCGAATGGCCTCCTGGTCTCCATGCTTTCTTTCCTGAGCACTCTCCACTGCCAGCTCTTTGCCATCACCTCTTCTCCACACTGCATCCTGAGTGATCCTATTTCACCAATCACATCATGCCCGTCCTCTACTCAAAACACTTTAGCATCACCCCATCTCACTAGGGGAAAGGCCAGAGACCTCACTGGGGAGGTGAAAGCCCTACAGGTCTGGCTCAACCACGACACGCCCCCCTTGCTCCATTTGCTCCAGCCAGACTGGCCCAAGCTGTTCCTGGAAGCAGGGGACACTCCCACACCAGAGCCAGGCCTCAACATTCCCTTTGCCTGCTCACTGGTTCCCACGTGGCCTCATTCTCTCGCCTTCAAGTCTTTGCTCAAAAGTCTCAGGAAGCCACCCAGGACAGCCTGGAACTACCTCGTCTCCTGTCCCACTCAGCTGTATAACACACCGTTTCCTTCCTGGTCTGTCCTCTGACTTTCTCCACTTACAAAGAAGGACTGGGGGACTGGCTGGAAGGGCTTATGGTCCATTCTGTTCTTGAGTTTATCCCTAGAGCCTAGAATAGGTCTTGAATGAACAAAATATTAGCTCTAACTATACTTCACTCTTTAACCAACAGCGATTGGCAGAAAACGGGCAGATTTAACCACCTAACAATGTCTAGGAGATCACACTAAATAAATTTACAAGGAAGTTAGAAATTACATGCCTGTGAGACATTCAACTTTGTAAGAGGCATAGAAAGAAAACATATTACCCAGAAATGACATTAGCTTTTGTCATGAATTATGGCAACTTTCTCCCTTTGTTGCCTGTTTACCTCCGTTTTTCCAGTTGTTTTAAAAGTAAAATAAAATTTTAACTCATTAAAAAAATTACTGGTAATCAGATTAAAAAGGATGCACCTTCACCCGGGCATCAAGAAAATGCAAAGTAAGATCCCAAGAGATGATCGGTCCCAATGCACCAGTGGTGGTGTGAATGACGAAACATTTTAGAGAACAGCTTGGCAATTGCTATTAAAACTGATTCTACTTCTCAGCATCTACTTAAATAAACACTTTTATATGGGCAGGAGGAGGCATGTTCAATAACACTCATTGAAGTATCTTACGTTTCCAGGGGAAAATTTAGACATTCCCTGAATCCTCCTCAGCAGGTGAGTATTAAACTATGGGACCTCTGTGCTGTGGACCACTGTGAAACCATTAAACAGAACACAGTGGGTGTCCAAGGCTCGAAGAATCCCTAGGGCATACAGCAAGGTGAAAGATGTAGGTTATTGGACAATATATTCACTGACTATGATTTATGATCTTGAAATAATGTATTTCTATAAGTCCTATGTAATGTATATGTTGATAAAATGCATTAAAAAACGAGATGAAGGTAACTCCCCAATCCATGAGGCAGCAACTAAGGGAGAATTTATCGCTAATGTTAGAATTCTCGTGTACTGTAAGAATGTACGCATGGAGTACTTGTGTAATTAAAAATAAATCGCATCTTTAATAAAATGAGTCCCCCATGTGCAACCATCCCACAGTTCCCCTAAACTCACTTCTTCAGTTAAGCCTTTCATGGGTGGTCCACCATTGAGCGCTTCCTCCTACAAGTGAAGACAGCAGGGGAGAGGGTTCAAAGGGCAGGAAGAAATGAAGGAATGGGATAGTAGGGGGGTGAGGGAACAGTGAACAGGGAAGGCAGCATGAAGGAAAAACATGAAGAGAAAGAGAAGGAAAACACCGTGAGTGAGAGAAGTCATGCCAGTCTGAAGACTTGCACCCCACTCTTTACATCTGCATGGCTGCACGGCTCTTGGTAAGGACCCTTTGCATCTTAGACAAAACCTAGGAGCTCCGAGTGCCTGAACACCGAAAAGGACCAGAGGAAGTTATTTTCACCCTCACTGGTGCTTCATTTGACCTAATAACAAGAATTTATGGGGAAAATATATTTTTATTAAATGTATCTGCTCTTTATAATGTCCCTACATTCTATCCATCCAACAGTGGAGCTCAGGGCAGGTGGCCATGGGGGGTGGTGGAAGGAGACAGACATGCCTCACCAGTGGTCATGGCTGTTAGGCTCAGTGGGGCAGCAGTCAGGTGGGGGCTTATAAGAAGGCCAGCCCCCAAGCCCCTCCCCATTCAGCTGAACTTTGGGGGAGGCTTGTGCATCAGTGTTTGTCTGAGCCCCCCAAGTGATTCCAGTATGCAGCCAGAGTTGTGAACACTGCTTTGAAGCCTTATCATGATCCACCAGACCATCCACTAACATCAGGAAGGGCCAACCTTTCCTACTTAGTAACACCCCAATCTCTTCTACAAAAGGCTAATTGTCAATGAGATTTGGAGTCCTAAATCTCATTCCATAGGGAGAAATATATCTTAATCACCCAACAGCCTGTTAGTGATGGCTTGCACCAACAGGGAACCAGAGGTGGGTAGGGAAGGACTGGGGCCCAGCTCAGCCACCACCAAGCACCTCCCAACTCTGTACTCCAGCAGTCTTCTCTCCTATAGTATAGGGCTATAATCCTCCCTTCTCCCAAAGACAGAGTGAGGACAACTTTCAGGATGTGCCTTTATGGACTTGGAATCCACTGGAGGGCAGGCACTCCTGAAATGTATGTGTGGGAGTCGGGGGGTGGGGGTATAAATTTAAATATGATATCCCAAAAGTGTTGTAAAACAGAACATATATGTTCTTGGTTACTCATCTAAAGAAGAGGAAACTCACTGGCTTGCCCTATCATCCATCCATCCATCTAACCATCCATCTTTCTTCCTAGTTGTTGCTAATGGAGGGGCAAAGGAGAGCACAACTGCACAATCATCATGAGGCATTTTCTTCTAAGTGTCAACCATCATCTCTCAGATCCTAAAAAAATGATCTCAGCAACTGAAAGGCAACATTATCCTCCACTTTCTCAAGTTTTCTCTTTCCAAGATTCTTAACAATTTTCATCTCCCAGGAATATCAAAACACCATCGCAGACAGACAGATGGGGACATTCTGAGGGCTTTTTTTTTTTTTGGCTTTTGGCTTCTATTTAAAATAGTCGTCAGGTTAAATAAAAACAAGCAAAAGTGCTCTAGCAGAAAGACTTCCCATAAAGCTATGTCAACAGAGAGTTTATTTTTTTTTAAAAGACTGCTCTATAAACACATCTAACCCCAGCCTTACTTAGAGCTGTCCACAGCTGGCCCCTCCTCTGGAGTCTGCACCTCAGCTGTGTTTGTGGGCGTCTGGTAGCGGGTTTGGTGGCCGTGGGATTAAAATGTCCCTCCTTAGCCAGCAGACCCCAGGACCCTGCCAGGTGTTTGCGTTCTTCCAGGGAACATCGGAGGACACAGAGAGTTTAAGGAATGCATCCAATGTCACAAGTAGCCATGTTTTCCACACTGCCTCACAACAAACAACTGTTTGAAAGCCCCTGCAAATGTGGACATTAAAGCGTGGTCGGGCCCGACCGATTCCAGGAGCAGGAGCCAGAAGGGCAGGGCCCAGAGTCAGGGCACGTCTCTCTCTGCTCTGCATGTCGAGAGCACAGCCATCCCTGCAGGGAGGTCAGAGACACCAGGAGGGCCCCCTTTTCCCAGAATTATCTCCCTGGTGGCTGCTCTGGGAACAGAAATTCTACCATTTGTAAGGTATTCCTCTGGTCCTTGGACACTCCTACAGTAGGAACCTACCTACTTCACATGGAGGAGCCTCCGAAGGACACCCTGCTGGAGGCCAGTCGGGTCCACACAGTGTGCCCAGTCCACGGGGCCTGCTCCTGGGGAAGTCCACTCCAGGATGCTTATGGGAGTATGCAAGAGTTGGAGTGCCTAATTCCTCCCCTCCCTGCCCTACATGACCCAAAGAGGTGCACTGCCCTCGGGGGTTTTCCAGGCTAGCCTGGCCGCCCTTGCCCTGCCACTGCAGGTGATGCTATCGTTAGCTGTACAATGAAGGTAGCTCAGTTAACACCTCATCAGACAAGGCACCCCGTCCTTGCAGTCACCTGTAGACTCCTCAGTCACCCATGCCTGCCTCAGTCCCTACTCCTTGAAAACTCTTCTCCCGAATTGCTGCCACCTTTTCGGGCACCTGCCTTTCCATTCTTGGTGATGTCCGTGTCAGTAATGCTGGTCCTGTACCCTGCCAACCAGCTCCACTGCGCCTCTCCTCTGGATCCCTCCTCTGTCTAGGACCTCCACACTCAAGCCCAGCCTTTCACTGCCATCTACTGCACCCTCTGCCCTGGATTTCAAATGCCCACTTCTGGACACTCCCCTTTCCTTCTCACTCCTTCTGGTGCCAGGACTCCAGCAACTCACCGACTCCCTAGGACCCTTAAGTCCACTGACCCACCAGCCTTCAGTATCCATCATCGCCTTGGGTCCTCACCCCTGTACTGACCTGGCTCAGTGGCAGGGAATGTCACTGTCCGGACTCCCTCCCTCCCTCCTCTCTCCCCTCCTCCCTCTCCCTCTAGTGTCATCACTGAAAGAAACCTCAGGCCCGGTTAAATTCAGTTCTGTAGCTCTGCATCTGCACCTGCACCATTATGGCTGAAAGTGGCTGGAGAAACTCACACCTACATTGCACAATAAGGTATCATCCTGGATGCATGGCTACAAACCCAGAATTCCCCTCTGTGTTTGTGGGTGAGCCGTTGGGGACCTGAGCCAAGGCCAAGCCTTCTTATCTACTCAAGGCTGTTGCTCATCGAGCCTCTCCCCATCCCTGCACCACTCCATCGATGCACAACATGTTATAGAGGCTCCCGTTTTGACCTCACTTCCCCAAATACCAGGTCTGTCCCCTTCACAGCGAAACCCCTGTAATACATAGAGGACTTGTACTACCCTCCCCATCTCTAACCCATTTCCTTAACCCCTACTTTTTTTTTTTTTAAAGATTTATTTATTTATGATAGACATAGAGAGAGAGAGAGAGGGAGAGAGAGGCAGAGACACAGGAGGAGGGAGAAGCAGGCCCATGCCGGGAGCCCGACGTGGGACCCGATCCCGGGACTCCAGGATCGCGCCCTGGACCAAAGGCAGACGCTAAACCGCTGAGCCACCCAGGGATCCCTTAACCCCTACTTCTTGATAATCACCTCTCTAGTCAGGGTCCCCATAAGCACCCATAGCTCGGTCAGGTCATTCTCAGTCTTCCTCTTCCATGACCCAGCCACTGCCGTTGACACAGCCAACCGGCCTCCCGTCTCCTTGAACAAACCCTGGTCTCTTGCTGGTTCCTCCTCCCACCCCTGCTTCCTCAGTGCTGCCAGACCCCCGGGGCTCAGCGCCAGCGCATCTTATCAGTGTGACCCCCTTTGCTCCCTGACTCATCCTGCTTTTGCTCTGCACCTTGGCCACCTTGCTGCCCCTGGAATACTCGTCCAGCTGGGCACTTGCCCAGGATATGTGCACAGCTCATCTACTTCGATGGCATCTTCCCCGATACCCTACTTAAAACTGCAAACCCCTCCTGACCTTCTTTACTCCCTATTTCATTGTCATAATTCAATATTTTCCACAGCAATTCTCACACACCCCTACAATGTACATCCCATGAGGGCAAAGCTTTATGTGTCTTTTGCTCACTCCCAGGTTCCCAGCCTCAGAATGGTGTCAGGCACAGGGTAGGTGCTCGACACACACTTGTAGAGCAAATAATGGATACATTATAAGCTTATGCTGATCATGATTTAGAACTTCAAGGACACAAAAGAAAGCATCACATATGTCTCTACTTTTCTCTTGAGGCCAATTTTCCTCCTCCTTGAGCACAATAGCCTCCAAATGTCCCACGTTGACCCCTGGTCCTGCGTTCCAGGTTTACTCTGGCTTTCTAAATGGTGGGAGGGTCTTCTGCCCACCGAGACAGGGAGCCAGCTGGGTCTTTTCTCCAAAGCAGGGTACCCAGAGGGCTCCCCCTCTATTTGTCGGAGGAGACCCGGCTTGAGGTAGGACCACAAGTAAAGAGGTAAACACCCGAGACCCAGATCCTGACCAGGAGAAGGAACGCGTCCCGGGTCTCATGCAGGAAACACCCTGCTTCTCTGCAGCTCTGGGCTTGTAGGACCTTTGACCTTCCAACATTCCCAAGGCAGTGGGCTCATCCCCATTCGCAGGGTAAGAAAATCGAGGATCAGAGAAGTTGAGGGGCTTGCCTGAAGTCACACAGACAGCAAGAAGCAAATCTGGAGCCTACCCTTGAACCAGCATCTCCCAAGGATTTACGGTGTTAAGGGAAGATGCAGGCAATGGCACCACTACCCTGAATGGCTCACACTCTACTCTCAAGAACTTGAGATTTCCAAATCTTGGCCCACAGTCAGCCAAGTCCACGTGCCACCCAAGGTCAGGGCTACCACACTAGCCCAGGAGCAGATGACATGGACCCGCCGTGCTGGTCAGAATGCCCTTGGGTTCCTAATCGGGGAGGTGTCCAGAGCCCCCCAGAGCTGCCAACACGGCCTGTAACTGATATCAGAGAAAGTGTTCCCAGGTGAGAGCCTCTTGTGACATGCCTTTTAAATAGGCAACCATCTCCAGATCTCAGCCAGAGCATAAGCCCCGGGAGGCCAGGGAGAGTGCTTTGCACACAGCAGGCTCTCCTTAAATGTGCGCCAAGGAATTGTGAGTCTGAGAGGGCCAGCAGCTGTGGGGGTGGGATGGAAGTCGGAGCAGAGGGCCTTCCCGCCCGAGGCCACTCAAGCCTCAGCAATCAAGGGCCAGGCCACGAGAAGCTCCCTGGGTTTGGGGTCCCCAGTTCCCTGCACATGAGTCCCCGAGGCCCCGCACCAGGCCAGGCCCTGCAGGTGCTCACCTGGGAGATGTGGGACTGTGTCTGCTCACTCTCGCCGTCTCCCTCCGTCTTGTCAGCCAGCAGCCCCTGCACCTGGTACTCCAGCACATAGCTGTCGATGAAGCGCTCCAGCTCCTCGATCTCCTGGGAGCGGCTGTTCCCAGCCTCAGACGAGGCCGACGCGGCGGATGAGTTCTCCATCCCTCCAGCTCAGGGGCGGCGTGGGGGCTGCAGAGACAGAATGGCGGGCGGTGAGAGGTGGGGGGGGGCCTGCACAACACCCCACTGCAGGACCACTCCCTGCTTCCAGAACCTTCTCCTCCGTTCTGGCATCTTGGCCTCCCACCACCCCTTGAGCAGTCAGGATGGCGCCAGCTTGCCTTGTGTGAACAATGTGCTACAATTCCCCCTGAGTGTGGAGGGAAACTGAGGCCCAGCAAGGGCAGGTCACTTGCCTAACTGGCCGACGCAGTAGTCTGTGAGACATGGGGCATTAGTCCATACCTGGACCCCACCACCTGGGATGGGGCAGGAGACAGACCCTGCCTACCAGCCAAGCCACACACCCTGGCCTGGAGTTGGCCAAACCTACCACAAAGCAGAATGAAACAGGCCACAAGTGCTGATGTCTCTGAGCCAAGCATTGGGACGTACAAGGGTCCCCCAGACACAAACCCTCTACAGGGCCTGGGGCCTGCAAGAAAATATCTCCTCCTAGAGAGATGCTTTTTCTTGGGACACCACGTGATCCCCTACATTAGGTGAGGCCTATGGGCCTTAACTGTGTAAACCCACCTTGGCAGCCTTGTTAGGATGCAACTCACCAGGACACACTATGCTCAGTCTGTGAGGATGACGAGGCTGGTTTTTAATGAATGGACATGGTGGGCCTGCTGGTGGTGTGCGAGAGCAGGGGCCAGCCTGTCTAGCCACCCTCCACAGGTGCACAACTCTCTCACTAGCCCTCAGGCCCTCTCCCTGTGGTGGCTGGGCATTCCAGGGATAGCTGTTGAAGTCCACCCACAGAACTGAACTCCCTCCCGGACCAGGCAGGGTCAGTCCAGCCACGGCAGGAGCCCAGGCCTGCAAGGACACCCCCACTGTCCATTCCTGTCCCCCAAAGCTCCCATCTGACTCCACCAAAAGTGGGAAGAACTGGAATCTTTCTCACCTCTAGGTCCCTTCCCACAGGCTCTACGCCAGACAGGAAGGGGTCTTAAGGCTTATCTGGTGTCCCTTTCATTGTCTGAAAATTGGATTTTCTGTGGGGGAGTGTATTCAGCTGGAGGAAGCACAGCCTGCATGTGGTTTCATCATTGCAACTGGTAGAGTCGTCTCCTACCAAACTACCACCGGGAGACATGCAAGGAAGACCTGAGTAGCGCACAGGACTCTGGGACCACAGGGACTGCGTGCATCTAGAAAGCGACTTTGATAATAAAGGCAAGGCCTTTGTACATTTAAAGGAACATTTGGATTTCAGTACCTTGGATTACTGAGAACTTTATTGGAACATAGTCATTCGCCAACTATCAAAGGTTTGTTGAGTTTTCAACTAGAACGGATCCAAAACAGGGCATCTTGTTCGCTGCTGAGACCATGAGTGTGGACTCCCCCAGACCATCACCGGACTTTTCAAAGGTTGGCACTGGTGATGGGGAGGAACTGCCCGGGTGGACACACACATTTCTCAACTGATTTTCTGGCTCAGTGTTTGGATTTTGGAGGCTGCATAGGGCCCAGCCTCCACTGGACTGCAGGCTAGCTACAGAGGGACCGTGCAGGGCTCGCTCTGGGTTCCTGAGCTCAGCAGCCTTGGGGCTCAGAGGTTTGTCCACCTGATCCAGAGGGAGGAGTGAAAGTTTCAGGCCTGGGTGCCCTCATCAGAGGCCAGGTGTGGAGGCTAGGGAGGCAGTGGGTCCGCAGGGAGTCAGCCCAGATTGGGAGAAGCATGCCTAGTGGTGTAGGGCCATAGTTGGAGGTGAAGGTGGGGATGTCCTGCACCCCTTCCTCCACCTGCCGTACAAGGCCTAGCGTGGGCTTACATCCTTCCTGCCACCCATGTCCACCTTACCCCTCCTGCTCCAAAGGTTGCCCGTGACCCCCTTTCCTACTCTATCCTTTGTCCTGGACACATGCCATGTGTGTAGGCAAAACCCTAAGAGGGTTCTGGGTCTACACCTTCTCCCAGTTACACAATCAAACACTAATTGAGGTACTCCTGGAGAGGGATTTTGCAAATATAATTAAATTCCCAATCAGCAGACCTTAAGATAGTGAGACTACTCAGGAAGGCCTCATCCGATCACATGAGCCCTTGAAATCTGGGCTTGGGGGTAGAGACAGAGACTCAAAGCACAAGAAAGACTCAACACACTGTTGCTGGCTTGAAGAGGAAGGAGCATGTGCGAAGAAAGCAGGCAGTGTCCATGAATTGAGAGCAATCCCTGGTCGATGACCAGCAAGGAGAAGGGCACCCCAGTCCTACAACCATAAGCAATCAATTTCTGCCAACAACCAATGAGCTTGGGAGCAGACTTTGCCCCCCAGTCTCCAAATGAGAACTCAGCCTGGCTGACACTTTAGTTTGTGTCAGGATTTATAGAGCTGGACTTTGGACCTTTAGAACTGCAATAAGCTGGTCCTGTTTTAAGCAGCTAAGTTTACAGTCCTTTGTTACAAGGTGGTAGAAAACTAACGCGAGGCTCTTTCTGCTTCTGCTTTTGCTCACACTGTGCCCCTTACCCAGAGGCACCTTCCCCTTCCCTCTGCCTACAAAATCTACAAGCCCCTACACTCACAGAATATACTAGAACAGTGCCTCAGAGGCCATCTGGCAACTAGCCCACTCCCTTGCTTTCAGAGTGGGCCAGCGGCTAAGGATCCAGCCAGCCTTGGCCTGTGGGCATGAATACTGCAACTTGTAATAACAGGAATGGTCAATGTGCCCTGAGCCCATATCATATGCCAGGAACTCTTCCCAGCCCCTGATCTGCCTTCTCCCACTTACCCCTCACAGTAACTCCATGAGACTGGTATAATTGTACTGGTTAGAAGTGAAGACTGAGGTTCAGAGAGGTTAGGTAAGTTGTTCAAGTTTGCACAGCAGAGCTCCAGGTGTGCCCACACCCCACCGCCTCTTCATCCCACCTCCTAGCAGCCTGCCCGGGCTCTCAGGACATTTCCTACTTCTTGTTCTCTGTAACCTTCCAAAGCCCAGTGGGTTCTTCAAGTGCTGTGTGTGCTTCTTACTCCCAACCGGGCTGCAGGCTGCAGGTTGCAGAGGGCTGGGCCCTGTGCCTAGCTCACCGCCCAGCCCTGGGCAGATGGCCGGCCTCAGGGGGGTGGGATGATAAGGCTGATGTCCAGAAAGGGCTGAAAAGGAGCTGCCTTTTCAGGAAAAGTCAGTGTGTAAGGCCATGCCCATTATTCCTCGAAGACTTCAGATCTTATCGAGGGCCTCCTGGCACACTTTACAGGTATAGGCAGAGGACAGGGCTTTGCAGGAACCAGGCAGGAGTGTTTCCAGGAGGATCAACTGCCTGGCTCTGCCTGCGGCCGCAGCAACCCTAACCTGCTCTGCCGGACTCTCCAGGCTCTTGCCAGCCCCTCACCAGGCCACACCACAGCCCCGTGGGGGATCCTGAGGGCAGTGATCACTGCAGACGGGGACAGGCGCTGAGACCCATTCCCAGACTGCCCACGTTTGGTGCCCAGAGGGAAACAGAGGACTCCCACACCGGTCACTGGTCTTGGATGCCTCATGTGTCCTCTCACCATCTCGGGGCCTCTCCTGCTCCATCAGAGTCACACGACAAGCCTGACAGCACGTCAGCCCAGCTGCCCCAAGCGCATTCCACCCAGAGCTCCCCTGACGCACGCAAGCAGATGCCAGCACTTGGCACCTGTGCCCTGGTGGTACAAGGAGCCAGTGGCTGAGGGCATCAGTCTCTCAGATGCCAACGGAGGTGTGTTCTTCATGTTCCCTCAGCAGGTCGCAGCAGACTGAGCCCAGCTGCCCATGGTGGGGACCAGATCCATAACACCCCTCATCCGGCCTTCCCTCATCCCTATGTCACTCTCCCCAGGGAAACCCGTCTCCTTGGGGCACATCCAGGAACTCTGCTTTCTGAGAGAGAACCAGGCTGACATATCACCTGGACTTACTGGTTACATTCCAGAATGAGTCTCAACCGAGGCACTTTGCCTCTTCAGCAGAAACAAGGGAGGAGGGAGCAGCGGGGTGCTGTCCACCTCATCCATCTCCTCAGCTATCAGGCTGGAAGTCCAGTCAGGCACTCACACCCCATTTTTAAGAATTGTGATAAGATATAACTATATATAAACTATGTAATATAATATACATGACATAAGTGCACAGTTCAGCAGCCTTAAGTGTTTCCACCACATTGTGCAAGTATCATCACTGTATTTCCAGAACTTTCCAGCATCCCAAACAGAAGCCCTGCGCCCACCCAACAGCTCCCGTTTTCCTCATCTCAGCCCGTGGCGGCCACTGCTCTCCCTTCTTGGCTCTATTCTGGGAACCTCACGTAAGTGGAATCCAACAACATTGGTTCTTTTGTGACCAGTCTCTTTCGCTCAGGATAACGTTTTCATGATTCATTCACGGTGTGGCATGCGTCGGAATCTCACGTCATACGTTGTGTTACAGTAACATATTGTGCACAGAGACCCTGTATTATTCAGTATTATTCATCCGTCATCCATCCGTGGATATCAGCTTGTTTCTGCCTCTGGCTACAATGACCAGAGCTGCCGTGAGTACAGGTGTGCGCTATCTGGGTCCCTGTTTTCAGTTCTTTGGGGTGCATATCTTCAAGCTCTGCCCTGTTTTTAAGGTAGAAAGAATGAAGAGGCACGGGGTGAACTCTCAGGCCCGAGGAAGGCCAGGGAAACGCAGGGGTGCTTTCTCAAGGGCTGGTTGCACTCCCTCCTGCCTGGGTTGGGGAAGGGGTCTCCTCCTCTTCCCACCCACACAACTGGGCTGCTGGCTAAGCTGAGAGACAGGAGAGGAGTGACGATCCCTCAAACCCCCCCCCCCCCCATCAACGGTGATCGGGGAGGGGAGGGACAAGCGGGAGAGGAAAGGAGAGGGTGGCTTGGCCCGGAAGAGAGGCTTCCAGGGGCAGCCATCCAGAGTGCAGGACCTGCCAGGCCCCACAGCCCGCCTGCCCCCCTCCCAATCCCACCCCACTGCCAGGTGA